GTGCCGGCCGGGTTGTGGACGACTTCGGTGTGCAGGAGGTCCGCGTAGCCTGAGTCTTGTAGCCTGGCGAAGAGCGGGGAGACGTGGTCTTGGTACGTCACGTCGGCGACGATGATGACCTTCTTGTCCTTGTCGGGGAACTCCTTCGCAAAGGCCGCGGCGGCCTGGTCGATGTCGAGGGCGTGGCGCGTGAAGACGTAGATAACGGGCAGCCTCGAGGTCGGCGACAGGCACGAGCGGCCGTAGTGCACGACGACCTGCGCATCGACGTGCTCGGCGGCGATCTCGTCGACGCAGCAGGCGCTGTAGGACGTGTCGGCGAGGACGTAGACCTTGTGGGTGTCGGGCGTGCCGAGGGCCTTGGTCAGCGCCTCGGCGACCCATGTCGCGTCGCAGAGCATGGCGTCGGGGAACTGCAGGCCGACGCGGGTCCAGCCCTTTTCTGTGATTTCGCGCGCGGTGCGCTCGATCTCGTAGATGGCGAAGAGGTCATCGTCGCTGCGGGACGCGAAGGGCGGGGGCTTGGGGGCCGGCGTCGGGTCCTCGAAGGTGTGCTCGGCGGGCGTCGAGAGGACGGGCGGCGCTGCGAGGTCTGCCATGGCCGCTGGCTGGGGCGTGGGGAAAAGTTTTCGTTTGGAAGGGTGGTGGTGTGACAGAGGACGGATGATGGATGGCGGGGTTGCGATGGCGGGGTACAAATTGGAAAAATCACGGTGAGCTCACCGAGTCACCGAGGTGCCACCCGCTGCAGTGCGTGGACCCGCCCCGGTGTATTCGAAACGTTGGCCTCTGGATTGGTTGGTTGGCTGCCCGCGTCAGGGTCCATCTAGCAGTATTCTTCACAGGCTGCCCCAGCTGTCGTCCTCGCTACTCTTTGTTGCAGTTATTGCATTGCTTTACTCTCTTGTGTGAGGCAAATGTCATTCTATTGTTGCGAAGTGTAATCAAATTCAAGCACTCGATTGGCCATAGGCACGCCATGACAAGTCGTCATGACGAGTCATCCTGGCAGCGGAATGCCGCCAACCCAAGCTACCGGAGACCTTTTACAAATAGTAACCCGAGTATTTTGACGGTGTCTTAACTGCATCGTTCCACGCCCTGGCACCTCATAGTTTCATGCTCTGTTCGTTATGTGCCTGGCTCTACGACTCCCGACTCCAGGGTTCCCTTTGGGAGATCGGTCATGCTGATGAAAAGGTGGCCCCATCAAGAAAGACGGCCACTCTCTCAAGATGATGTTCCGTAGGTGGATTGTCCCGTTCCCCCTACCAACCGCAAAAAGTCTTGTCTCCTCGCATGCCCTCCCTGCCACAGAGATCCATACTCCAGTCCCACCAATTCCTTCGTTCCTGTCGAGTACACTGATCAAGCCAGGGAAAAGGTGCAAGCCGACCTATGTGCTTCGAACTTCGAAGAGGTCTAAGGCACGCCAGTCTTTTTGCTTGATCGTGTTATAATTGAAACCCAGGCACTTGTGGTCCTCAGACTCGGCGCAACGCCTGATGCCCTCAGGCTTCTCGTGAAGGGGCAAAGGGTCATCAGCTTGTTAGGCTCCTTGCTGCCAATTCCGTGGGCGAAGGAGGTGGCCACGAGGCAAATCAGCGACAAAGCTTCAGCCTTCATCTCATTTTATAGTTTGTCAGCAACAGTGAGTGGGCGAATTGTCGTGGTAGATAGCATCTGCTGGGCCTGGCTTGTTCGAAGAATGCAAAGTCTTCTGGGCGTTGAAATGAGCGTTGGAACCTGGAAGAGGAAGCAGCCCGCAATCTGCCTGAAATGTGGCAATGGAGTGAAGGGGAGACATAAAAAGGAAAAGACGCTTGAAAAGGGCGTCTTTAAAACCTTTGAATGCCCTCCGGATACTCACACTTTAAGAACCTTCTTTTTATACCGTCTTTTGTATCCCGAGGTCCCTCCTACACTGTTTAAGACCGGTTTCTCACCGGCTTCCAAACCTGTTCATTCTCCTCCATACCCAGAGTGTCGAAGCTGCAACCACTCAAATGCTCCGCAGCCCAAACCATCTTTCGCTATCCAGAACAGTCCTGTTCTTCAATCAGTTCTCTGCGGCTATCACTGTTGGTGTGGCTCTCCTTGTTGGTCAACGGCCCGCTCCCCCCATCGCCCCTCCACCCCTCGTTGCCTCCTTCAATAGCCATGGGCCTGTGACTGATTCAGAGAATACTGCCTTCTTATCTAGGCTGCGGCTACTATATCCAGCATAAACCCTGAGCAACTAGTTCCTTGACCGCTGTTTAACAGACTAGTGTCCAGCCAACTGGTCGAAGGTTCTTTGTCCTGTAACATCTTCTCTCGAACTTCAGAACACCAGACCAGCCGCAACTTATCACTATGTCCTGGTTCCTTTAGCACTTTGAATGATTTCCATTATATTCACTCTTTGCCCCAGCCAGTAAAATACGGGTTGGCTTGGGAAGCTCGACTATACCAGACTAAAACCAGGTTTTAGAGCTGCAACATGGAGACATCGCTTTCAATACTAATTTATTCAATGTAAACCCCTATCACCCGCCAAAACAGGCTTCAGTGCAAGAAATCTTGAGAGACCCTGCCGTCGCCAAGAATATAATTTTATCACCATAGACTGTTGAGTATTGAGTAGTGACGCGTATGTGTCAAGGTGTGCTCGAGAGCAGCAGCCCGTGAAACGTCACAGGGAGCAGACTTCCAAGTACCCTCATTGTGTAAGCACCTTTCTTTCGCTAAGATAGAAACTTGAGAGACCGAATGGACTTATGCCCTGCCGCAGAAATTGTTGTTGTCGCCGAGCACGTGGTAGCCGTGATTGTACTGCTTAGTGCTGCCAGACCACCAGTCAGTCCAGCCTGAGACGTACCAGCCGCAGACGTTGGTGATGGAGGCGAAATGCTGGGCGACCTCGTCGCTATAGCAGCTGCGTCGGTTGCCACCATGGGAGAACAGGCAGAAGAAGGCGACGACACGCTGGCCGCCTCCGCTCGAGATGCCGTACAGGCGCTCGCCGACCCCAATTTCCTTGCCGCCGCCGCACTCCCACTTGAGTGAGTCTACCGCCTTGTCGGTGGCGCCGTGGTCCATGTTCTGGTTGGCGCCGCACTTCACGGCCACGTCAAGTTAGCGTTTACTCTTTATTGACCCCAAGGTGCGCAAATTCTACGGAGCACCCTTCTCATAGTGTGCTCCAGATCTAGGATGAATTTCGGGAAGAGGGATGTTTGGTTTTGTTCTGGAGGGCCCTTGAAATGTCACTCACGTCGTGGTACCAGTCACGCTTGCCAAGCGTAGCACCACCGGCACGATCGCGCGTCTCAATGGAGGGAAGGGCGCCGATGTCGCGAACCTCTAGATCCTCGATGGCCGTGTGCACGGCCAGACCGGAATCGTCGTAGGAGACCGAGTAGACACCGTCAGGGATGTCATCAGGGATGCTGAAGCCGCCGTCGAGAGTGCCGGTGGAGGTGAAGCTGGTAGCTGTAGCACCAAGGCCCAGAAGACCGGAAATGATGATGGACGAGGCACGCATAGTGGCCGAGGTAGTGTTTGGTATCTGGTATTGGTGTTTGGTGAAACAAAAACAAAAGGGGAGGGGGTTGGCAAAGATTGAGTCTTGAGGAGAGGAGAGAGATCTGGTGCTTGTGGACTCTGAGCTCGGAAGATGAGAAGGAAAACACTCTTAAGTTCAGAGGCCTCAATGGTTTATAGGCGGCGGATTCTACCGCAGAGATGCCTGGATATCCCACCCAATACTTACCTCTAATTTTGGCAGCAAAGTGCCGAGCACTCGAGAGCTTTGCAGTAAGAAAGAGGTGCACTCATTACCGCCAAGGTCAGCCCCCTCACTGACTGCCAAATGGGCCAGTCGCACCCGCTACAGTCGTGAGGCTGGACCCAGAACACACCGAGATCGTCAACCTGCCAAGAAGCGTCGGAACCCATATATTTACTTGCCCACCAATGAGACCAATGTGATGCTAAGTTTCCATCACTACTAGTAGTCTCAGCCTTGTGTTCCCTATATGCCAAGCAGTTCTTGTGCTAAACAGCTGAGTGCATCGTCGTTGCCTAGCACCATGACCGTCCCATTGAACCCACCTGTGCCGTAATCGCATAGAGGAAAAACGGAAAAAAGAGACATGAGACTCGATTCGGCGGATTCTGAAAGTCAGTTCTCGCCAGGAGCAGCTTGTGCGGGGTTAGCTGGCTCTAAACATGGAATGCACAATTGTGCCCAGCCCCCATCACTCTCATTGCTGCGATATTGCCTACAAAACTCTTTCAGATTTTGAACTGTACCTAATTCAAAGCTTTCCTCGCAACTTTTGCCCCCAACATGTGAGCCTCTTCATAGTTAACTCCCGAAGTCCCTTTATTTCCTAACTGAATTGCAACAGAACTTACTAGATTATAGGACTTAGCTCTGAAAACGTTGCGCGTTTCAGTTCTTAGAGCGCTGAAGTTCTGAATTCTAGTCATAGGTTGAAGCCCAGCCTACTTTGATGGTAGTTAGGAGGCCTGTTTCCGCAGCCATCCCCACGCGAAGTACGCTTCGCAAACGCATTTTCGCGGTATATAGAGAGCTATACTGCCGTCGCCTATCACATACGACCACACCCATTGGAAAATTCGGGATCCCGTCCGCTCTCCCATAGACAAGCCAATGAGGGCTGGAGTAGTAGTCGGGTCGGTGACGACCGGCGAATGCCCGGTGTTGTATGTTTTGCTTTTTGTTGTCGTTCTTTTTATACCCCGGCATGTACATTACAAAAGCTTACCCGATCTGAATCCAGTCTTCGTTGTAGTTGGTCTCCCGTTCACTACGTAAGAGACTCCATGTACAATCACCTTTATGCACCTGAGATTATGCCCTGTTCAGAACCACGCTCAGAACACCTGCTTATCTCATAACCAAATCTATGTCTACACGAACTGAGCACTTCTCTGTGGTATACTGACAACATGACCACCTGAAATATTCCAGATTTTGAGTACCCAATTGCCTAAGCCTTGAAGATGCCGACCTTGGCTCTGCAGCTCGAATCACCCCTGCCACCCACAGCCTCACAAGCCTTCCGAAATTTACAGTTATCGAAAGCTTCATGACCCAAGAATTCACTCTTATAGTGCTTGCATTCTAGATAACCCTTTTCGTAAATGCGGTTGTATTGGCCGGCGTCACAAATTTTACCAGTCAAGTCGTCGTTTCTACTGCCGTCTTCGTTCATGCAGGTGCAAATCTTGTAGTGGTCGCAGGCTTGGACGGTCAAACCAACTGAGAGCATTGAAATAACGAATTAAGCTTTCATGTTGAGAAGCCAATGACGTTTGGAGACACTTTGAAGTATTAGTTTGCTACCATTTACGCGAGTATGAATCAACCGACGCACCAGCAAGAAACCGTGATATGGAGCTCTGATGCAGTATTTGGCTTGAAATTCAGTTTGGAGATCGGATGAACCTAGAAGGACTGAGAATTGAGCCTGGCTCGAGAATAACCAGCGTATCTATAAGTGGCGTTCTGTCGTTTGGAGAGCCAAATGTTGAGATGGGTGGCATAGGTATCGGTATTGCCGATGTCTGCCCCTCAGTCTGTCTCCCCAATTCCATGACACAGGAGAAGACAAAAGCTTGGTAAGATTGAATCGACCCTCAAAACTGACTCAGCTCAAAATTCAGCACTGAGAACTGCTCGTGGACTCTAGCATCAACATGATACAGAAGCTTCCGCCGAGCTCAGATGTAGACAGAGCTGCCGCATGGTCGAAGGAAACCCTCCCAGGAGATGACGTACTCAATCCAGAGACTCGTTTCCGACTTTGACCCAGAGCGTACTTTCAAGGCCATCACAAGAATCTTTCCGCGATCCTGGGCAGTCTTTCAGTGAAGCCCCTTTCCCTCTGGCCGCGGAGTCCGCGGCGCGGGATCCGCGACGATCAAGCATCCAGAAGAAGTTCGACGACTCGTTCTCAAATGATAGTGCCCGTGGACCTAGAGCAGCAGACTGCAACGAGGAATCGGGCCATGCTGAGCCAAGGGCCGACGGCGGGTATCTCAATATGGCCCGACAAATTTACGCTGCTGTGAAGGGACACCAGTCATACATAACCAACGTCAAAATATCTCCCAAGTAAGCCCTACTATTAAGATCTCGTTCAACGCTCATCTATGAGATGCCCGCTCCATGTTAAGCTTCCCTGACAATCATGTACACTATGATGTACAAGATCTGTATTAAGGGTTTGAGTTTAGCACGTACCAAACGTCGCAAGATCTCTTTTTAGCGTCTTTCAACTCCACATCCAGATATCCAGGCGTAGCAATTGCTTAGAGCAGTCAAGCCGGTCGCGTGCCTAGGAAATGCCCCGCGTTGCGCGACTAGTGGCTTAAAGTCAGAGAGGCGTTGTCTACGAGACCAAGCCATCCCTTCTTGAAAAAACAGAAAAGACTCCAACCAATTCAAGAACGGAACTGATTTCAAAGAAAGTTGAACAATACTGCATTACCCGTATACTCAGCTACCTCAGATTACTACTACTGATATCCTCCACAAAACATAACGAACTGGGGTGTCTCAAATTCCAATCTTTCCATTACCAGAGGCCATCAAATCCAACTCGGCGATTTGCTGAGATGCTGCTACTTGAGCAGACAGCTTAAGCAGTCTTCTGAGTACCATCACGGTCGCCGAAGCCGGGAGGGGGAGGGGCACCAAAGCCGGGAGCGCCACCCTGGCCGGGAACGGGGAAGGGAGCAGGGAATGCCGGGCCGGCGGGAGGGGGAGGGCGCCTGTCGCCGTCACGGTCACCCCCACGGCCTCCACGGCCTCGGTCGCCATCACGATCACCGTTGCCGCCACGACCGCCGCCACGGCCACCATCAAGAATGCACTCCCTGTCTCCGTTGCGGTCGCCGTTGTTGCTGTTACCGCGGTCGTCGGTGCGGACACAGCAACGTTCGCCGTTGCGGGTGCGGCCCTCGATGCCGTCACGGCAGTCGCGGTCACGGTCGCCGTCGCGATCGCCGTCACGTCCTCCGCGGCCTCGGTCACCATCGCGATCTCCGTTGCGGTCACCGTTGCGGTCGCCATCGCGGTCACCATCACGGTCCTTGCCCTCCTTCTTCTCGCCGTCCTTCTTGTCACCCTTGTCCTTGTTCTCAGCCATGGGCATGGGAGGAGCGACAGCAGGAGCAACGGGAGCCTGTCTGGCCGCCAGGGCGTTGGACTGGGTCAGGCCACTTGGAGCAAGAGTTAGTATGGTGTTAAAGGTCTCTTGTAAGCTTTCAGCTTGGGATACTCACTTTTGCTCGCCAAAGGGAGCACCATTAGCGCCGAGGGTGGCAGCCACCATGATGATGAGAGACTTGCTGAAATGCATTTTGAATGGTGGACTCGGTGATTGAGCAGTAAGAAACTAGGGGTATCTTTGATATTTTGAGGAGCTGAAAGCTGACCTTGAAAGGCGGTTAATGTTTTGATTGTAGGTTGAATAGAAGATGTGATGAAGACTGTTGAGTGTGATGAGGAGATTCCAAAAGAAATCAGCCGGCGGATTTGTGCACCTTATATATCTCTTCGGTGTTCTGCAAGTTGAGTGGTTTCCGAAGCACCCTCGTGAGTTTTGCTATCCATGTCTCCAGTGATGACTGCACCCTCACATCGCTTCCGTACCTCCATCTCCAACAGTTCGTTTCCCCAAGTGCCACAGTCAAGCATAAGCAGGAAACTTTCTCTTAAAGTCTATTATGCGGTCGGCACCCCAGAAAGGGCAATGTTGGCAGTGGCCGGAGCCAATGAGATCTGCGTGGTGTGCGCGGACGACTTCCACTGACCATCGGGAGGCACCGCCGCCCACCCATTTTTGAGACTGCAATTGATGTGAAGGATGTCCGCGTAAGAGCGAAATCAGGCTGTCGTAGAGTTTGAAAGCGAACTCCGTCTGATATTCTCTCTTCAGAGAATAATGAACATGCTGCCCAACTTGGCCTGGTCGATTCGCACCTCCGCTGCTACCCGGGCCAGGGGACCCATTCCTTTTTCTCAGAAACGCTCCCAACGCCTCCTGGCTTCAAACTACTGGGATTGATGCAAAATTCACGAGGATTGACCGGTCGTTCATGCCAAAAGCGAGCTCTGGCCAGCTTGGCAAGCAACTTGGTGGCATCACCGGTCGCCGGAGGAATTGCTGTGTGATCTCGAGCACGATTTCGTTGCTACGCATATCAATTTCTTGGCAGCGGCGATATTGCTCATCGGGTTTAGGGTAGTATATCGTCACATTGGTGCTGAGTCACTGGGCTCGGTGATCGAGATTGTGATATCACTAAGCTGTCTTGCCTCATTTGTAGAATATTGTATTTACTACTACGCTTAATTTGACGACAGCGTGCAGTGTGTATAATCTTTCGGCTTATTCTGACATGAAGCTGCGCCCATGTTATGACGTGGTAACACCACCACCTTTCTGCACTTGACCATGTTCGTCTCTCGCTCTTTACGTTGCTGAAGGGGCAACCACCACGCCAGACGTCAACTCGAAGACAACGAGAAAATAAAGTAAATCAATCTTGAAAGGGGGGGGGATTGCATGACCCCAAGCTTGATCCAAGCCATTGCGACACGTACACATCTACTAAACAAAAGCTGTGGATCTTTACGCCTCCCACTGATTCATGCGATTATCGTTGTCAGTTGCAACTGTTATCTAGGTTGAGGTATCAGAATTACAGGGGGTGAAAACCTCCAAACGTCCGAACGGCTTGCCTAGTAACGGAAGATGGTGTAGGCCCTTTCCAAAAGCAAAGTATGTTCGGAGGGTTGTCCCCGGCAGTTTCAAGCCGGGACCCGTCATCGTCTTGACAGCGTTGACGAGTTTGGATATCGACAAGTTCTGAATTGTCTCGTAGAGAAACAAAGCATTCAGCTCATCAATAATCATGTATTGTGTTCCTGTAATGGAAAAGAGCCACCATGGGCAAGTCCGAAGAAGCCGGCGGATGAAACAACATCACGAGGAGCAAACTAGTCCCGAGAGGTGCACTCCGAAGGGTTCATGGGTAAACAAAGTGGTTCCACTTGTGCGACAAGTGCATCTTCCAACAGGCTTGGGGCACGTCTCTTTTACTCTATTTTGCGGAGATGGTGGAGCGAATTTCATGTTCCAGGTCATGACTTGGCCTGGACCGCACGGTATCTACTATGAAGCTGGTCGCTATTGAAGGTGACCCTTGCCTTCACTTGAATACAAGCTTTGCATGTTCAGATGCAGTCAACTTCGCCAGACCAAACAAAACAACGCTCCATGAAGCCTAGACCAACAACAGCGTCCAGCGGCAGCAAGATCCATTCAACTTCCAATTAATGCGCCTCCAGAGGTTCCGTGCTGCTAGCACAATGCTCGTTTAATCCGATTCAGCGTGAACCTTTCTGAAATCGCCCCAGCGAAAAGGTTTGGTTTCGTTTCGTCCTGATATTAAGCTTTGGAATCCACCAGATCCTATTGGAGAACCAACCAACGCACGTTGAAAGTCCAGAGTCCAGATGGCATTCGGAGAAAACCTGCATATCCGCTTTGACTCGTCGCCTCACTTTCTTCATCTTCAGCTTAATGCTAAAAGCGGTTTATTTCAAGTCCTCAAGTTCCAGTTGGCCGATACTGTGCTTTGACGACTCCATGGACAGTGATTACGCATGGTAAAGGATTCAGACAAGCCCCGCTTGTTTCCCATGAGCATAAGATTTTCAAACAGCAGCGGAAACAGTGGAAGCCATTGGATCCAGTCTAGCATACCGCTGTTGGCAGGATGATCCAGCCTCAACTTCTAATGCATTATCAAACAATTCCAGACCTACAACATGATTGGGTTGATGTTTCTCGACAATATGCAGTGACTAAGATGGTGCCTCCATTACCCACCCGTGAAGCAATTGCAGGGTACAAGATTGCATGACCGACTTTACTTACGGCTCCTCTCACGCCAAGAATGTTCTTTGACGGGCTCAAGGCTTCACCGTTATGAAGTATATCCGAATACGCGAGTTGACGAGCTTGAATACTATTCTGGGTCCTGGCTGATGATTGTCTAGTTTTGATGTCACTTAACAGAATGAGGGATGAATTGGCTTAATTATACATTGTACCTTACACAACTGCTCAGGGTCACGAGATATCGGGAGCTACCATGGGCATCTTCTACCAGCAAATCCTTGATGCCAAGCTCAACCATCTCATTCCGATGGAACTGGTGAGTCTGGGGATCAGGTATTTCCCGTCAAGCTAAAAGCAATGGCGCAACAGTGTCCAGCTCGGGCGAATGACCCAGGCCTATCGCAGACACACATCAAGAAGAACATGATGAACGAATACCTTCCATGAAAGTAGCTTCGTCTCTAACTTCAAGCCGTGGATTCTTCAGCATGTATAATGCCAGTGACGATTCGCCTAATTCTTGGTAACAAGTCCGACAGAAGTCCAAGCATCGGATCCGAATTGAGCCTGCTGCCGGAGAATATTAGCCCATGCACCGGGGGAAGATCCGCCAAAGCCACCGGATGCACATCTCATACTTCACTTCAACCTGTACTAGCGATGATTTATCCTCGAGCGACTCTCCTGATCCTGGTGTTGAAGTCTTGCGACGAATGACTGACCAGATGGGTGCATTTCCTGCAGTCTACAGCCATGAGAGTTCTACATGAAAGGGACGACAGTACCTACATAAAAGTCCTGGGCCCTCGGTTTGAGGTTGTACATTCTTGTCTCGACGCTTCTGAGGACGATGCTTTGATTGCTCTTTGAACGAGAGGTAGTAGGTTCGAGGTTGCGGTGAATGACGATAGCAGTGCATATTTGCCCCATGCCCTTTGAATACCCAAGTAACCCAGAATTACCTCCATGCGGCTATCATGCCAATTGATCAGACTGCTCCGCCTTTTCGGATTAACTCTTAATTATGTTAAGCCAAAGTCCGGTTTACGGTGAATGTGATACAGGCATGATACGGTAATAGCGGTGACAATAGTCAGAATTAGTGGCCCCCTTCAGACGAGATACGAGGAAGACAACGGGTGCCTCTTTCTCATGACCATCAGCGCATTTTGCCTTACTAAATAACCTTTCTTCCCTTCTAACTTTTTTCTTTATAGTTTGCTACCTTGAGATGCACCTTATTAACTACTATATAACTCTAATAAAGAAATATATAGAGGGTTATAATATAACCTCTATAGCTAACTTATAAAGTATGTAAAAAGGATTTTTAAACTATTTCTTTAAATTAATAGAAGTAGCTCTTTATTATACTATAGTTTATATTTAACTTTTTTAAATAAGTTTTATGTATACCTCTTATTTAATGAATATAAGTTTTACTATTAATAATATTAAATATTAAAAAAACTAATCTATTATATATTTAATAATAGTTTAGTTATATCTTTATAGCTAAAAATAATAATACAGTATTTTTATATTTCTTTATAATATACATTAAGTTCTTAGAAAACTTTTAGAACTAATCTTTTTATTAAATTAAATTGAGATTTAAAAAAGATTACTAGGAATTTAAAAGAAAAGAATAATATAAAAGAAATTAATAAGATATTTGATAAAAAGTATAGTAAAAAGTTCTAAGAACTAATTATTATTATTATTTTAATTTAAGTTATAATATAGTAGTTAAAAAGACTAGCTTAGGTTAGGGTAGAGGAAAAAAAGGTCCTTATATTCCCTTTAGTTATATAAGTATTTATAAAAGAATTATTCACAAAATAGCCTTACTAAATAAAGAGCATCTTCATGTGATAACTGTGCATCAATTAAGCTTTAGCAGACATGTGCCGCTTTCGGAACGAGCCACCATGCGTCTAGAAGAACAACCTCGCTGAAGACTTCAGCCTGACTGATGCACTACCGCCGACGTTGCGACCATGGAAAAAAAAAGCAGTCTCTGAAAACTATATTCGATGGACTTTAAACCGCTCGATTTGCGTGAAGCGCTCGCTACGAGGAACCTCACATACCAGAGCCACGTTGCCTTATCAAGGTAACCACATAAGGCGTCACTGTGGATAAACAGCACATTAATAGTTGACGTAACGTCGAAGTTCGTGTTCAATTGCTGGTGTTCTTCTAGATGAGCCCAATCGCAAAGGATCATTTTTCCTCTATCACATGGATCAACAACATCACATTATAACCACATCACAGCACAGACTGATGGTCAAATAAAGTGAAGCGTACCGTAATAATACAGTCTCAATTTGTCCGCGAGAAAACTCCGAGCCTACATGTCCGATGCCAGAATACCGCCGCCCAAGTAGCAATATTGAACTCCATGATCCCTTCGCAACGGTGGTATTGAGTTACTCGGATCCCTTCATGCCCTGCCTTGTTCGTGCTCCGACTACTCGAATCGAGAAGGATTACCATTCGTATCGGGACTGTCCAACCGTTTGGTAATATTGCGGGCCAGGTGAATTAGTTGCCGTAGCTGGAAGTCGGAGTCGTTCGTGCCGTTGTTGAGCTGCGCACCAACGAGACCTATGGTCTTGCACATGCTGATTAAGGTCTCTCGTGCCAGCCTTGAAGCTGTTTCGGGGGACGACTGGCGGTAGACACGACGGTCATCATCGGTAGAGAAAGACTCTGGCTCTCTCAAGACCGTAAGGATGGAAGGGATACCCGTCACTGTAGGGCTTTGGGGATCCCTGGGGCGTCCGGGGGTTGTTGGGCTCTCGGACATTTTGACGGGTGGGAGAAGACACTCGGTGGAAGTGGACGCCACTGTGAAAGTTGGTAACGCAAACTATGAGGGCTTAGCTAAGTGCGAGTTTATCAGAGGGAGGAGATATATACCTTGGCGATAAGTCGGTTGCTGAATGGTTGTGGATAGAGCTCTCAGAACGTGGAAGTGGATAGATAGATGATTTGATATGCTAGGAAGAATGCAGCCAAGAGAACAGAGGGGAGGTGACAGGTTCCTTTAATGTACTCGAGTTCGGAGCAAAGGTATGAACACATAAACAGAAGGCGGCGGGGTACCTGGTCACGAGATCATGCGCCTTTCTGAGTTTCGCGTCTGTCTCCCCATCAAACATCATCTGATCTCGAGAGCCCTTTCCACCCGTAGGCGCCATAGCGAACGGCCGTTACCCTCCGTTTAAGGTTTTTAGCGTTTAGCAGTCAATTATATGCCCGTGATCAGAAACTGAAAAACGCAGCATCGAACTATATGGCGTGACATACGTGTCAGCAACTCGGCCGACTCGGTTTCGCCAGTCAAATCACCAGTCATTCGTCAATGACTACTAAACATCTTACTTTTGATATCGTGTGGACACCATAGCCGATACAGTTCATGTGGCTGGAGCTCTTGGCACCGACACTGCCGGCGCGTGGCAAGCCAAGCCTCCTTGATTACGAGTGTGTTGCTCGGGAGGGGTGTTCAGCCTTCGCGCGGACGGACTGCGGGGAAGGCAGCGAACATGGACCCATCCCGGCAGACGGGGGCCCAGTGCTGCCGGCGTCAGGTGGAGTTAGACAACGGCGCTCGGCCCTTGTTTCTTCATTGACAGAACACCAGTCTCTCGGGGAACCGCAAGGAATGACGCCCGGAGTACGTAAGCATCTCATGTCTCATGTCTGTTCTGGAAGATCAAGGTACTTGGCATCTGGGGAAGCTGAACGGCTTCCGATTGACCGAAGCGCGTTGACATGCGCTGGGATAGCCTGTTCTCCGTTTCTTTAATGGCCGGCGGAAGACAAGAAGGTGCTACGAAGTCAATTCCTCTGAAGTGCGGCTCTGTCTCATAGACCACCTTAAACAATGAGTTGGTTACCTCCGCGATTAATGGCACACATCTAATCAACGGCTCTCCAGGGTCTCGTGAACTGCTCAAGGAACGCGCCTCAACCCCAAACAACCCCGCAGCAACATGACCGATCCAGACCATTCGGTCGCAACACGCAGCATAAAGATGATATTATTGCAAACATATTGGGTCGCGCACTCTGTGCCGATGATACGTCGTGCCACTCTCGAAAGGGAATCGCTTATCTTAGTGCCTGACATGGGCTGTGTGCGACAGCGCGCAGTGGTGCCAAGTTTCCACGCATGCCAAGACTTTTAACGTCGCGCTCATCTCGCGCCCACAACAAGCCTCCTTCGCTCTCGGTTGATGCTGAAAATTCCAACCGTTTTCATCTCATTTCCATCCAACGTTAACCTTGCCATTAACCCATCTTCATCGTGAGATTTCCTTTGCCACAGATCCGACTGCAAGATCTGTCCCCCGCAACATGACGGACATCCACGGGCCCCGCCCATCGGAGCCGGCCGGCAACGGTGTCACGGAACACAGCCACGAGTCGACCCCGCTTCTCCCTACCACCGCGTTCCGAACTGTCCATCAGACCATCTCAAGCCGCATTGCCCACGAAGGCGAAAGCGGAAGAAGCGGTTTTCATCTCCGACACTTCCTGATTGTGCTGTGGCGGAGTTCGTGCACCGCTTCAATGCTGGTCAACTTCCTGTGGCCCATCGTACCAATCGCCATCGTTCTCAACTGCCTCCCTGGACTTCACCTATGGAAATTCGCAACAGCATACGTGGCCGTGGTGCCCTCGGCAAATCTCTTGGGCTTTGCTGGACAGGAATTCGCCCGAAAGATGCCCAAAGTAGCTGGTATTTTGATCGAGACTACGTTCGGGTCCATCGTTGAGATAATTCTCTTTGTGGTTCTTATCGTCAAGCACAATACTCACGAAGGGAACGGAGATGAGGGAAACTTAATACCCATCATCCAGGCTGCCATCCTCGGAAGTATCTTGACAAATCTTCTGCTCTGCCTTGGGCTTTGCTTCTTTTTGGTGGAGTTCGCAACTCCAGCCAAAAGTTCCATGCCATCGTCTCTGAAGTAGGGACTGGGCTCCTCTTGGTTGCCGCGTTTGGACTTTTGATTCCAAGCGCGTTTTACTCAGCTCTTAAGGCTGAGACATGGCCGGAACTCCCAGGTCTCCGGGTGACGTTCCATGAAAAGTTCACGGAAGGCACCCTTCAAGCTGATGTTTTGCGCATTAGCCAAGCCACTTCAATTGCCTTGATCGTGGCCTTCTTTCTCTACATCTGGTATCAAGCCAGCAGCCAGCACAGCATATTCGACGAGGTAATTGAGATGGATGAGCACCGGGATGCCGACCGTGAGGAGGACATGGAGAAGCCCAAGTTCACCATGACAGAAACGGCACTGGCTCTCACAATCTCACTTGTGTTAGTGACACTGCTCCTCATTTTCCTCGTTGAAGGCATTGAAGAGGTCGTAGAAAGTGGGATACCCGACCAATTCTTAGGTTTGATTCTCCTCCCGTTGGTTGAGAAGGCCGCCGAACACTTAACTGCCATCGATGAAGCTTGGGGTAAGCAGACATGCCCTCGCCATCTTCAGTGAGAATTGTGTATCAGAACCTTTCTAACTTATACACGTATAGATGGGGTTATCAACGTGGCGCTCTATCATTGTCTCGCGCCATCAATCCAAACAGCTCTTTTCAACGGCCCCTTGGTTGTCCTTGTTGGCTGGGCATTGGGCAAGCCGATGGACCTGAATTTCGAAATATTCATGATCGGCTTGCTTGTTCTTTCCATTCTGGTTGTGGGCAACTTTTTGCGGGACGGAGAATCAAATTGGCTGGAAGGAGCTTTGCTCGTGGTAAGCTCTAGTCGCCCACATGCCATCCTAGCTGCATGTTTCCTTGTATTCTAACTTTTGCAGGTCGTCTACGTGATTATCGCGATTGCATGCTGGTATTATCCGAACCCTGACGTGGCCACTTCCAATGGCCTGGTGGGTTCAAAGATGGTGAACATCACTATGACCGTTGACACTCTCCGGCAAATCCAGCAACTCCTGACGACGAAGCTTGAGAACTGAACGCTTGGAAGTCGAACTGGTTGACACACACTCGGGACCGGAACTGATCTGAAATAAGCGCACCGAAAAAGCTAGGCAATACAAAGTTGTACATGAAGTCAGAAGGCGGAGGGTGATATGCACTACAACATCACTCATGGAAGGGTTCATAGCGGGTGAGAGTTTGGGGGTCGAAATTGAGAGCTTTTGGGATATCTAGCGCAAGCTGCATCGGCAACGCTCGCTTCGTGAACCGTCCACACAACACCTCGTCTCCATTCGCTCAGTAGACCTGCTACCCCAGTTAGTCAACTACAATATCGATGTGCTCTTGAGATCTAACTTACTTGTGAAGTCGTGTTCTTTTAGCACTTGCAGTAAGGGGTGCCGACATCAGGCTTGACACAGGCGTCGGAGCAGCCTCCGCAGTTGGCAGCGAGCTGCCACTTAGCGCCGTCGCAAGAGGCGATGGCCGCGTTTCCGGAAACACACTCATAGCCGGCACCCTCGCAAGCGGAACCGACGGTGACCGCGGCGGAGACAGAGGAGGCCATGAGGGCGAGGATGGAGGCAATCTGGAAGAACTGCATGATGGCGATTGAGATGGCGGAGTAGTGGAGATGAGAAGATGCTGTGTTGTGATGGCGTGATGGAGGAATTCACAATAGGAGAAAGGAACCGTTGCTGTTTATATGATGGGAACTTTCCAGGTTTCCCTGAATACGAGGTGGAGGAAATCTCGACGATCCTTCAGGCGGTCAGCCCTCAACAAGGGGATGTGGAAGTGGAGGCTGTAAGGTATTGGGATGGACACTCCGGCCTCAACTCGGTGGGCGTTGGGGAATGCTGGACAGCCTTTGGACACGCAGCATTGCTCCAGTTTTTCAGGGCCAATATTGAACACTCTGCATCCGAAAACTTTGATCATAGGTGATGCATGATTAGACTTCAGTGCGGCCAAACCTCTGCAGCTGTCGACGACACTCAAAATCTCGATGTGCTGTCAGGAAGTAAGGCTAGCAAATGACAATCTTCAAACGTCAAGACGGATTGAGTCAGGAATACCGGAATACGATCTGATGAACGCGACCCTGTTTCCGGCGCCCCCAAGGGCTATCTCCGCGGTTGATCATCTATGTATGTTCTCCAGCCAGCGGGGTTTGCGGGCCTGTGCTCGGTGAGACACCCCACCGATCGACAGGAGTAAACACGGGGTATCCGCTTCGGCACTCGCGGCGTTCCCGGGCGGGCTTCCGTACGTGCGTGTTGCATTACCGGAGACTCACATGTAATTGAGCTTCCAGAGGCATGGGTAAAGTTTCAAGATCAGCGGATTTAGCGGTGAAAATGGGTGTGCAGAGTGGCATGACCTTGGTATTTTAAGGAGAGCATGCCAACATGATGGTCTGAGAACATGTGCAAGCTTAGGCCCGCGAAATACTCGTGTTGCAATATGCAGCTCCAAGCATACCGCGTGTTCATCAATTTGCCTTTCGTGCTGAGCATAAATCTCAAGCACGGTGCACCTTTGTTGATGATAAATGGGGACCACTGCCGGTACTCAATTACATATGAAAAACTTCAGTAATCAGGCAAGACCAGAGACAATGGACATTGCCACTGTCCTTGTGTTAGAATGAATAGCTAGGACCGCCATCAACAGGGTCAAGGGAAACACTGCCCAAGTACATATCATTAAGAAACGCCCAACTCCAATCGTCTCCACCTTCCAGGAGCAAAGGGTCAACACCGGCGATATGTGATGGCGCCGAAGATAAAGGAGGAGACTGAATTTGCCCACTCGTCCCAACTGTCCTTTCATCGTTTGGTGGTGGAATAATCTGAATGTTTGCGCGGCCACCAACAGAAGTTTGCTCTCTCGGAGGCGTTCGGAATGTTGTGCTTGTGGCATTGCGACTGTTGTTCCGATGATGGCCCGGAACAAGCGATTCGACCCCTCGGACATCGGGTTGCGTGGGATGGCCCGTCGACTCAGTGTCTCTGATAATGGAGCTGTTACTGACAATTCTGTCGGATTTCACCACCCACTCCTCCAGCCCGCCTGTGTCGCCTCCCATCCGAATGCTTAGCCTCTCACCAGATTGTTGAGACGTGGTGCGATGTCGGAGGTTGCGGTGGTAATCCTGAACCATGGAAGAGAAGTACTGATCTACTTCGTAAAACCTCGCGACGAACGCTGCTGCAACCCCTGAATATCTGGCAAGTTCTGAAAGCGTGTCGAACATTACTTTTGTTGGGCCGAACGAAGAACTGATGGGTTGATTCTCGGCCATTTCGTCTTGCTCGCTGGATCGGCTACATAGATAGGCTTCTGTGTCCATGCGAGGGAAATGTTGTGCGTAGACTCCGGTGAAAGAAGCAGTGTAGATGACGAAGGCCACAAGAGGAGAATGTGGAAGGCGATCCTCGCACAGTTCAATCACGTTGGCGACCGTCTTGCTGGCTCCGAAAAGCTCTCGAGCGCTTTCTTCCCAAAATCCCGGAGGAACCTCCTCCGGTGGGAATGTAGGCTCATCCAAAGGACCAGATGGTCTGGTACATTTGATTGGAATGAAGGGTAGATATTGCCGATGAAGCATTATCTTGCAAAGAGACATTAGAAGATGAAGTATGATGAATGTGCTGGACGTGCTCTCATGGCGGAAGTAGTTTGAAGGGCTGAGGCTCAGAAATGCACCTGGAGCTTCAAGAGTCTTACTAAAGGCGTCTGCTTCTCGACGCAGCTGGAAAAAAAGGGACTCGGGGTTCCAAGGAGGACGTTGCTTGTCCAAGAACCGACCGCCAGCACTAGAATACTGAGATATGCGACCCCATAGGTCGACTAGCTGGACAAATCGACCCAGGATGCTGGTTTCATCGTGCAGTGACGAGTCCATGTCACCCGAGAACCACTCCGTGCTAGTCTGACGGCTTAAGTCGAAGTCCTCTTTGGCGCAGGGTAATCGCACGTGTAGGTCATCTGATCGGATGAATGATGGCCGTTCTTTGCCGCAAGAGATAAGTCGATCGAAGATGAAGCAGCTGAACATAGTCCTGCGTCTGATCTCGCGATCCACGATAGCGTCTTCAAGTGTTGCGTCGGAGTGGTTCGCTGTACTGTAATTGGCCTCGTACCCCAGCTTGAGCGCCTGCGCCATCCGTCCTGCCGAACCGACTAACATCCAAGCCCGGAGACCCTCGTGATTTGGCGAGATCCATTCGTAGAGACCGAGCATGAGTAAGGCTTGCACACGCTCAACAGATCCGATGGAACACGCCGATACGAACGAGCCCAGAGACTTGTCCAACGTTCTTGCAAAAGCTTCGGAAATACCTTGGTCCCCAAGACTGGGATCGTATGAGACTTCTTCAGAGCCGTGGTCGAAGTAATCGGCGAGCTCTCCATGATACCTCCCGGTTAAGGCAAGAAGACCGAGAAGGACTAGTTGGGTATCGAATGCTACCGACGCGTGGCCGGTAGTCAAGTCGTATATCCTGTTCTTGAGAGTCGGAACATGTAGGAATGAGAGCTCCGTGGCGAAATGACGCTGAAATGTGACCAGAGCCTTGTCCCACAGCGTTCTGTCAATACGACGGACGATGTCAATGTGATCGGAACGGAGAGCCCCATCCACCCGCGTGTGGGTCGCCCGTCTCGGCCTTTTCTGCCCGGAATGAGGTGTCGCAGTCTCCCGTGAATCCCGAGGTGCGGAAGGTGGATCGGGTCTCTTCAGTGGCGACGGGGCGGGCATCGGCCACACACATTCTTTCCGACCTTTGATGCAGTTCTCGCATGGCGCATCTAGGCGGCCAGTGTTCTCGCACTTGATCTTGGAGCGTCTGCATCTTGCGCAAGCTATGCTGGACCGTATTCGCAACGGGCCCACCATCTTTCAGTGTGGTGCTTGGCGGGTGTTAGAGTTGAGGATGCGGGACTCTCAGTCAGGAGCCGGAGAGTCTTTGAGATACTCATCGACAACCTGCGCTAAGCTCAGGAGTCGGTGAGGAACGAAACCGACGGAGTGGTTCAAGAGTCCGGTCGTGAGGGGTAACAAGCAGATCCGGTGGTGTTGGCCCCCACTGACTCGTTACTAAGGTAAGATAAGCCTCCAATCTTATCACCAGGTTGGTCCATGCCACTGAGGAGCGAGTATAGCTGAGCTTAACGCTCTTTGTTTTTGAGAAAGTCCAGCAATTTTCGATCTACAGAATCCATGGGCGGTCGTTCGCCAAGAATCAGGGTGAAGGGGTAGCCTTTGACTTTGAAAAACCAACAAGCTGCCGATGCAGATATTCTCATGGCTGAAGGGCAATATTGCATCCGATCCCCTGTTTTGAATGGTGGTTGCGCGGTCGTAGGACTTCTCGTTCTGCGTAGAGTTTTCTCGGTCAAAACACCGAGAAAACTCTCATATCGATGCAGAAGATACGAGGGAGAAACCGCGAACATCAATGCGAATCTCATTCTTGCTGCCTCGCACTGGCCTTTGAGAATACTTGAGCAGAAGCAGAAGAAAGAATCGTTGGCGAGTCGGCGAAGCACAAGATGCGCTAAGCCTACTTCAGTTAGCCGAATCTTTCTCCAGCCAACAACTCAGGGGGGAACCTCGTGGCAGTGAATAACATTTGCTGCGTTCGGATTGAGATCTCGGTAAGCCGAGAATTTCGGCATGCAAAAATCGGAATGCCGAACATGGGTCCAACCAACTCAGTCAGCAATTATCACCATGCTGTTGATAGTCGAAATTGAGGATAACCGCAATAAACCTATCCACAAAAGCTGGTAGCGCCTGAATTTTGCTTCCAGAGTGGTCATCACATGTGCGTCACTGAAAAGAGAACTGTGTTGAACTGTGCACATCTATCGACTATGGTACCGGACACGAACGCACTTAATTGGTGGAAGAGTTGGCGACTTGATTTTTTGTCCCTTCCATAATTCTTCCCCAGGCAGGAGTCCGTATTTACCACCTGTGCCAATTCCTCTCTCTCAAGCTGTCTGTATGATAACCGTTGACGTCGATGAAGTTTGCCCAATCAGCAGCCAATCGGCAGCCAAATTTTGTGCTACGATCTTGTCAGTCAAGTTGGCTTTTCGGGACGGGTACGATCGCCAAACCTATTGTGCAACACTTTGCAGAAAGAGATGTTGGCCAATCAACAACCAAAAACTTTGCGGATGCGCTTACCAAGACCATTCGTCTCGGTCTCGGGTACAGTATACGTGGAAGGAGACAGCAGGATATAATCATCGTCGTCGTCCTCCTCCTCGAGGTAGTCAAAAGGACGGCGACCTCCGGAGTCAGTCGCCCATCGACGTCCATACCTAGAGCTGAAAATGTCGAATCCGTGGCGCTCGTCTTTGACCATGCCTCCGTTTCTATTGACAACGGCATGCCTGAACGAGTCCATCACCTTCTAGATGGCGGACCGAGGCATGGTAGCCCAGGTGGCGAGTTGCGTTACGGCGACAATGATAGTCCTCCCACAGCCGGTATTGGGATGGTCCGAGTCCGCGACGGTATGAGCATCATTGTCGGGTGGAAGGTGTACAATCCTGCGCACACCTGTTTATTAGCAAGAGGAATGAGAAGATTTCGATGGCAGTGAGGGTTGAGAGTGGCAAATACTTCAGGTGAGGCACGACCCGTATTCCAGGCATGGGCGGGAGCATTTTGAACTCATCATCGTCATCCTCAAGCAACGAATAGCTCGAAGGCTGAGAGCCAGCGGATTCCATCGCGGCTGTCTTGGATTGCGTGGTTGAAGGTAAGGGACTCAGGTAAGTTGGATGTGTTGCTGGAGAAGGAAGCTGGGAAAAGATTTCGGAGGATGAGAACGAGGCAAGAGATGAGGTCAGCAATGGCGCCTCCTGTGTGCCTGCTTATTTGACCGCTCGAGTTCAATAGGAAAGCAGTCCCTTCTAAATCGGACTGCTGACTCGATGTTGAAAAGGCTCAGCGCTCAATAATCGATCACGCGTAAAAATGCTCACTCCACTGGCATTTCTATGGGGTTTATTGTGCGAGTGTGTAGTGACAACGTCTTGAGTGAAGCAGAGTGTCACAAGGATAGGTCTGGCCATATACAACGCACAAGCGGCAGCAAATCTTGTAAAGAAGACCAGAACTGAATTATATGGTGGGCTTTGTGACATTGACAGCAAGAAAATCAAGCGAAACTGAAAGGATATGACATAGTAAATGATTCATTCTCAGAGCCTGATTACCAAAGGAGACAATGCTTGCCACACTTCTTAGAAACTCTTCAAATCTACTGTACGGCTTCTTCATTGAATGAGAAAGGAAGACGAATTGCGTTTCAAAGAAAATCGTTGCATAGGTAGTAAAATCCATGATCAACATTACGCTACAGCGACCCCTCAGGCCACTTGTACTTGGGCCAGGGGAATAGAGGATTCCATGTGTGCTGAAGAATGATGCTACCCTCAGGAAAGGTCTTCTTGCTGCCGTCTGGTAATTTGACCGGGCGGGCAGGGGAGGGTATGGTCCAGTGTGCAACAATCCCGTTTTCCTTTGCCAGATTTTCATACAATTTTGCAACCTTCTCAGGGCGTGGTCTGAAATTGTCGAGGTGATTGGGATCCGTAGACTCTTCGAATTCACCAGGTTCTGCAGTAAACCATAGCTGCTGATGACTTTGCTGTTCTTCCATGTCCATCCCGCCACAGTTGCTGATGGTCCTTTGCTCGTAGTCTTCTGTGAGTGGCATCTCCACTCCACAATTATCTAAGTCCTCCATGATGTCTATGTTGGCAATTTCGTAGTTGACCCAAGTAAGTGGCAGGCATTCTGCTTTAACGAGTATCTTGACGAGGACGTTGACGCTTTCGGCCTCGTCGGAGTCGACTTGGTCTTGCGTCGCAAATGAGTCAACATACAAAACTGCAACATCCGAGGCGGCATGATTGTCAATGATGACGAATCCATCTGTTCGACCAGCCGCGTCTTCAGCACGCCGTATGTCGGCATGTGACTTGTTGTGGTATGAAGGATCATCTTTGATCACCATCTCGAGGATGGGGCTGAATCTCGAGCATGCACCTAACTCGAATGCCTTCTTGAGCTTTGCCAGTGCATCTTCGGGCAGGCTGGTCGTGACGTAAGCATTCAGCTTGGGGACGTTCGTTGGCGGCGAGATATAAACCATGCTTGAACTTGGAAATAGATTGATGCCGGGATGGACGATACGAGGAGAGGGCGTCGTAATCGGAGGTGGCTAATGGTCTTATATATCTTGGCAGCGCGAGCGGTTCAGATGGTTTTGACTTTGGAAGGATTCAGAGCTAGTGGGCCGTGATGCCGTAGAATGAGAGTTCAGTGCCTGAGTGTTACGTCACAAAGGATCGACATGGGCCTGGCCAATCTGAAAAAGGGCGGCTTCATGAGACAATCTGTCTTATTCAGCACCCCAGGCAATGTCTGGCGGCCTGCAGCCTGCAGATAAGCGCTAATGAAAGGGAGGCGTTCCTGAAAAATGCCCACCTAGGTTTCATCCGGTTAGTAATGAGAGCTATGTATCGTTTGAACTGGTAATACAAATCCCGCATATCAATGATTGAGTGTTTACTTGTGATTCGACTTTCCCACCGGCTGTATGGGTGCCAGGAAGACTTGGAGGAACGTCGATGGTATGTCGTGATTGATGCTGGCCTTGAATTCAAGAATTGCGAATGCATCTGCATCCAGCGAACTCATTCTCACAGGTCTCGAACTCTCTCTTATGCTCAGTCACAAATCTACATGGGCCAAAAAATGGATATTGAAGATAAGGGAGATGAAGTGGTAACCCTCATCGTGGTATTCCAACCTGGCGTTTGAAGTCTTCAAGCCACTCCATGTTATCGGCTGCAGTTTGGTTCCAAGGGTCGTCACTGGCGCAGCTTAATAGGCTTCCTGTGTCAAATGAAGGGGGAACTTACTCGTCAAACAGCAGAAAACGAGCCTGATGCCGAATTTCTTCGTCAGATGGGACATGATGGGTGGGGTTGTTTGGGGACATCGTCAATGCCGCCCATCGCTTGACCTCCATAGATAACCATCGGTGTGAGTTGCAATCGTTTAGTACGAAGGCTCCCGACTTAAGCCAACCGGGTCTGCGGAGACTTCCTGATGTTTTAGGAGCAGTTTCAGGCAACTTTTGGTATTGGCGAGAAGAGGCATCTGCTAGTTGGAGCTCGGATGCCGTGCCCTTTTCCGAATTCTCCATTTCTAGCACATGAGGGTACTGGATGCCGTCCATCTCAAAGAGAAACGCATCAGATCTAGATTTGGGGCGCAAAAACAACCCTTCATCATGAGTGTCTGGTTGCAGACCCAGCGTGTCATTCTCGTTCATGGGAAAGTTAGACCTGGAAGCGTGAACCATGCTCAGATCCAGTGGCCCCAAAAGATCATCTGGGGGTTTGCTGGAGTCTGCCCTGCCTGGTAATTTCTGCTCAGTGTTGGACAGGAGGCGGGTGCGCTTCTTGAATCCATAGAGCCATGTTGTAGAGCTGGTAATCAGCTTGGTCAGCCAATTGGCGACAAAGTCGGGAGACCCAGCTGTGAGTCCCTCCTCCATGCGTGAAACAATTCTGCAGGCCTCTGCTTGAAGATCATTGTCCATTGGGACTATAGACTGAGATGCCCAAAGCGTGTGGACGTAATCTCGCAGCTGAAGCTCTAGCGGACACGAATCAAACAGTGTCCTTTTCCCATTGATCCGGAGGACTGAAAGTCTACTTTCCGCCTGTGATCTTATGGATCCAAATTTCGCCTTTGTTGTGATGTCTTCATTTGATTCGATGAGATCTCGTAGCCAGGATGAGGTGTCTGTCCCTTGAACGTTAGGCGAGGTGCACAGAACCTCCGATGCAAATATGACACGGCAAGCTTCCAGTTGAATTTCGGAATTCTTCGGTACCTGTCCGTATTCATCCATGTGTCTTTGCATGAAGTACTCCAGCTCCAAGGTCAACAATTCGTACGCACTGCGTGGTGATTTAGGAGGGACTAAGGTGGCATTGAATGGGAATGGCGTGTGACGCTCGTGATCAATGATATCTTTTGGCTCCGTTAGACATGTACCGGAGGTTACTATGAGATCCCGAGACTCACACGGAGGCATAAAGTGTTCAACAGTCTCCATCACCGATGGTTCAAAACCCCAATCACCAGTCCAGGATGCCATTGTTTTCCCCGACTTGAAGTGGTCCGCTAGATGATCAACGCGATCTTCCCAGGTCGGAAGCAACTGCTCGCAAAAGCCGCAACGCGAGCGAATTTCCGGGGTAGCAGTCTTCCAACCTTCTATGACCCAACCAACGCCTGGTGCATCATGGACAAGGCGTAAATGCTGTTTCAGATGGTCCTTACGGTTAAAGACTCTCCCGTGACAGGCCGTGTAGTTGTGAAGGTTGAGATGTGCCTGATCTGGATTGGCTCTATCGCAGAAAACGCAAGCCTGAGCACCAGTGCTGGGATTGACGCTTGTCGGGCCATTGGGAGCACAGGCCCATCTATCCAGTGGTATGTGGAGCGACTTCTCGTGTCTCTTCCATTCGTACTTGGCGCGAAACGTTTCTGTACAAAATGTGCACTGAAAAGGGCCTCGATTTTGCACAAGAGGCGTGCTGTGCCCTCCTTTACGCGTTCTGGGTCGTCCTCGTTTCTTGAAAGAGGGCGGCAAACTTACAGATTTAAGTGAACCTCGAGAACTTGCAGATGCCTTGGAGCCCTCTCTGGAAGATACGACACTACTTCCCGAACTTTCGTCCATGAAATATGATGGATCTGATCTAGCCTTTGGAAAGATTGCATTGATTGGGTCACCTAAAAACGTTTCAGCCATGTTTACTGCGTAGGATGAATGCCCTACTCTACGTAGGGCGGTTGTGACGGAACTCACCTGAGGCTGACGGATTACCAGAGGCTACTGCGCGAGCGATGTCATCAACTGCTGCGGGCTCATCCTCGGGAGGCGAGTCAACCCATCTCTCCATAGGATCCATGTCAAGATAATGGCTCTCCATGCGTGTCCGATTCGAAATAGGAGTTCCTGGACGCCTTGGTACATGGGCGCCTGACTCATCTGACCAGGGAGAACGTGCAGGAGTAGTGTTTGCGAGTGACTTCTGGCGTCTTCGGGCATTGGCAAGCCAGTTTGATAACTGAGTTTTGGAAAGTCCAGTCGACAGCTGAAGACTCTGCCTATCAGCTTGACTAGGATACGGGTAGTGACTGTGGGTATTAAGCCACTGTTTTAGAAGACGAGCGGTGTCTCTGGAAAATCGCGCTCCTATCTTGGGTGGAACGGCACTGTTGGATGGCGCAGCCATATCCGGAATGGAGCTTGTGCTTCTACCAGATCCTGGTATTGTTGCGCGCCGTGTCAAAGAAATTGATTGTTGTGAGGATAGTGTGATCGCAACTTGGTCATCAAAATTTCGAGAGACTTGAGCGGCCTCTGGCTACACAGTATGAGTCAGTGGAGATGCGCAAGAAGTGGAGGACTTACTTGGACCGGATCACTAGGTGTTTGTTGCTGGCCGAGATCCATTTCAAGGAGGTCGAAACTTTCGATAGAAAACATTAAATTCGGCGAATCAGTTGAGGCATACGAAAAGTCGGGCTCATCGGCAAGCGGTGAGACTGGACAAGCAGGGCGGTGTTGATTGTCGCTTGTCGCATCGCGAGTATCGGCCTGCGGAGGACACTGAGACTGTGACCAGGGTTGCTCCCCGCGTGGTGTAGGTGGCTCATTCCCGTTGGCTGCCATTGTGTAATCTAAGGGTAAAATTGGTTCAAATATCTCCCTCGCGAATACAGGGTCCCAACTGAGAAATTGATACTCTGTAATATGATAAGAAAGTCATGTCCGGAGAAGAACGGAGTCGAAAGCTTGTTCGACGCTTGCGTCAGTGTAGTGACCTGTGACTAAGGCAATGCATGAACTCGTCAATCGCGCCTTTTTGGCGACATGTACACGCCAGGACAGTTTCTGATTGGCTCAGTCTCGCCGCATTGGAAGTATGTCGGCCAAAAAAGTTGAAGTATTCTTCAATCTTTAGCTACAAAATATAGGAACTCATCATACTAAACGAATGAAATTAAGGAGATACCGGACGCATGAGGCCTTTTTAAACTCCGGACTCTTAGCCTGCGCCAATTGCTCTCTTGCGAGATTTGAAGATGAACCCCGGTTTCGGATCTGGGCGCAATTGACAGTGTTTGGTGGGTCCTCAACATTGGATGGAGGTTGGGCCAAGCATCTCGTCAGGAGAGTCATCGTCACGGCCAACTGAGGAGTGCTTCTTCGCCGAGAAGGATTTTTTTGGGTGTTAATCAGCACTCCATGTGCCCGATCGCTTCGAAGTCGGCTTGAATGGACGTGCAGATCGTGTTTACCACGGCGTCCTCTTCGACCTCGGGAACACCCAATGCACCAGTCGGCCAGGTCACTGTGTACATCAAAGGCCCTTGCTTCACGCTAGATATGTTGAAGCATATCGGGGCACTCGACACATGACCCGGCTGCGAAAAGACAACGTGCGTGATTGTGGCTTTCTTTTCGCCGTCGCTAGTCGCACCTTCGAAGGCGCCGACGTTGCTCACTTCGTGGGAGCAATCGCGGCGCTGGCCGAGTTTAGACAGCAGCCACTTCCTGACACTGGGCAGATACCTGAGAAGACCGATAGGTTGGTCTTGTAAGGTGGCTGCGGTCTCGGCGAAAGCCCTGGTGCTCGAACTGGCTGCTAACCATTCCGCATCGGAAAGTGGACCAGCCGAGGTCAGTTTTGGGTGAACCAAGTATGTGGCCGAAACAAATTCTCCCATCTCGTCGCTGGGGACTCCTACAGACTTGCGCATGTTGACGGCCGTCTGAGACACAAAGTTGGTGACATTGACTTCGCCGAAAGCTTTGCTCATCCCTCGGCCAATGAACTGGTGTAGTAGTCCCATCAATTTGGCGTCATGTGTTTTCGCCTGGCAGAGTGCTCTGTCCGCCAGAGAGGAGTCAACGACCCTCAGAGCAATCTTGGTCCTGGACTTGTCGCCGTTGAAAGCCGCGGGAGACCCAGTCCAGGTGCCTTCATCTAGAGTAGAGGCCTGTGCTTGGAGGCCCAACACGTCTGATATGAACTTAGGGAAGAACACGGCAACCAAAGGGCCCAACAGAAACGACAAAGATATCGGAAGGCGTTGAGGCGTGTCAAAAGGGAGCCCAAGAGCAACTTATGGTGGCTTGACAGTCGACGGGGCATCGGAGGCTAAGTCTGGAGACCCCCTGATCGCTTCGAGTAGAGATCGATGTAGAGAAATTCCTGAGAGTCCATCGCCAATCATATGTGACCAAGCAAACGCGATGAAAGTCTGCGAGTTGGAAAGAGGCAATATGATGATTCTCCAAGGAGGGATGGCGTGATTGAAAGGACGGTCTAGGTTGAAGCGCTGCAATTCCTCTATTGCGTTCCACCGTTCGAGCTTCGTTGAGACGGGCAGTTCTTTGATTTCAATGTGGTCATTCAAGTTGACCATGTGTACTCGCTGGTAAAAGGATTGATCGGTGTGCCTGTCTCCCACAGTGACGCCCAGAAATGGATGCTGTTCGATACACCGTGCCAGGAGCCCGAATAGCGATTGGGATGACCTGATAGCAGGCCCGTTGCCACGCTCGTAGATGGCGCTTATAATGACTGCATGGTAGAACCCAAGGTCCTCCCTGCTGATCGTTCGCTGTTCGTTTGGGCCTTTCGTTGGCGCGTGAGCTGATATGATCTTTGATTCCTTGCTGTGATGCTAAACTGCAGAGAGTACTTACTCGCATATCTCAGGAACACTCCGTCAACCTCCATTATGTCGAACCTGTCGATTGACCCGCAGTTACAACCTTCCAATAAAGTTGAGTATGGGCCTAGAAAAATCGACAATTGGTCTGATTTATTTCCAATGCCCCTTTGCTTAACTTTGTACGAATCAGGTTAGACAGATGTCCCGGACAGTAGGAGGAGGTTGGGAGGCCACCAGCAGCTCCACTATCGACGGATCGATTAGACAGCAAGAAGTGCGACATTTCAGCTGCACAAGCATCAATTCCGATCCACCAGGGTCGAAGATTCTAGGAACGAGATATGGCTGGTCAGCCTTCTGGGTTGTTGACCCGCCATTCAATTCCCTGAAAGAAGAAACAGTAGGTGCAATCTTCAGAAATCCTAACGTGCGAACAGCATATTGCGAGATTTGATGTTTCCAGTCTTTGAACCCTGACGAACGAGTTCGTCAGACGTTGTCCGAACAAATGACGTTCCCATGGTGATAAACGTAGTGCAGCATACGTGCTAGACGGATCTTTTTCGCATGGTCGACCTGTAGCATGTCAATGAGCTTTGGAATGAGCAACTTTTAATTTGAATAAAAGTCATTGCCTCAACCAGTGCGGGTGATTTCAAAGGCAGGCCTTCGGTAGATCATGGGAACTTCCAAGTCTTCTCGAACAGCAAATAATGTGTTGTCTTTCGGAGTCTCTACCATAGATAAATCAGAATGCGGAGCAGTCTGATCGACGAAAGCAGCGAATCGGAAACTTCTTCAATTCGTAGACCCATCGCGAAACGTCATACGGGAGTACCCCCGTCATTAGCTGGCCAAGAACTATCAGTTCACTCTTAGGCAAGGATGTCGCTCGACAGGCTAACAGTTGATGACTGGAGCCATCTCTTTATACTTTTCGTCGGTCTTGGTAACTGTGGCATAGATGTCTCCATTTTGAAAGTGTAAGCAGGTTGCCGCATTTGTGACTCCATATCTTCCCACTTGTCTCGGTTGAAAGCCGACAACGCGCTCCCTGGCACCGGGCCAAAGCCGACTGATGGTCTTCCGTGACCAAGGATCGAAACAAGATAGGGGTGTGACCCAGATATGCACCTTGCCAAGATTGCGAGCTTCCGCCGTCCAATCCATGCGTTCGCGGAGAAGTAATGGGGATTCAAGCACCTCTGGGGAAGCTCAATGGTCCCGGGGTCCCCATAAATTTCCTAGGACTTTGTGGATATGTCCCATACATCGGACGAGGCCCCATCCGCTCATAGACATGGGTTGCGAACGTATGGCAGATGCATCCAGTCATACGACAGGCGGACTCGCGGCAAATTCTACTTCATTGGGGCCACAGCGATTGTATTTTCTTGGTACCATGCCCTAAGGACGTGTTCCTCGGAGGAATCCCTCATCATTAGCGTCTCTGAGACGAGTCATGGAATGATGCCATTACGAATAGCGCCCTTCGCCGATGCGTTCAGTGTCCAAAGTGTGGCTCCTGCATGCCGGAAAGAACATGGACAACTTTTCTCAACCGATACCCATATTGTCCAGTCGCCACGTGTGTACCTAGCACACTTCATAGTCTGCAGGTGGAGTTGCTGAGGATTGATTTTACGGGAAACTGGAGATCGGACTGACAGCAGCAGAGCGAAAAGCATTAATATCGCTCTCTGTTCCTCCAATTGTTCTTTACTCACATTCTTTTTATTCTGTCTTGCTACCGGTACTACTTTTCTGGCCAAGTCGATGTTCAGGTCACCAAAATTTCTGCGAAGATGCCTATAATCGATAGGAAGGTCTACGAACAAACCCCCAAAGAGGTGATCTCTTGGAAGATTGTGGCATATTGCACAATACTTTCCTTCACCGGAGCTCTCCATGGTCCGTACGATGGATCTCATCGTCTCGTCAGAGAACTTACTGACGTAATCTTCGTTCTAGGATTCAATACTGCGAATATTTCCGGTGTGCTCGCCATGAAGCCGTTCAAATCACACTTCGACTTCCAAGATATGAACAACGCCGATCTCGCCAACTGGAATGGATGGATAACCTTTGTGCTAATTCTCGGATCGTGTCTCGGGTCGTTGACTTGCGCCCCATTCATCGAGAGACTCGGACGTCGATTCTCCCTGGTTATCTTTACAATCCTGTTCGTGGCCTCAGCAGTTCTCATGACTGCGAATCCTGGTGGATCCGGCGGACGGATTGAATTCATTGTCGGGAGGGCTCTGTCAGGCTATGGGTCCGGCGCTGCCAGTGTCGTCGGCCCTGGGTACATTGCAGAGATCGCTCCTCAGAGCATTCGTGGTGGCTTGACTGCATTATACAACGACAACACCATGCTGTCAGTTGGTCTTGCATACTGGATCAACTTTGGCTCCTTGCAACACATCAGCAGTACGCAAAATGCTCAGTGGCAGATGCCTATGGCTGTTCAAGCCCTTCCCGGAGTCATCCTTCTGATTGGCCTCCTTTTCATGCATGAGTCTCCAAGGTGGCTCCTGAATCGTGGAAAGGTCGAAAAGGCGCAAAGCGTACGCGAAACTCTCAGATCTCTTCCCCGCGACCACCCCTTTGTGCGCCAAGAATTTGATCAGATCCAACGGGGACTGGAAGATCAACCAGTTGCGCCGGGCCTCAAGGGTTTGTTCCAGGAAATATGATCCGAAAATATCCGAAAACGCCTCTTCATGGTCATGTTTATCCAAGTTGGCTTTCAATTCAGTGGCGGGTAAGTCCCCTTAGTCGAGGGAGCCTTTGTGAAACAAGCACCTAAAACCCACTAGAAACATTATTACCTACTACAACACATCGATTCTGTCATCTATCGGGCTTACGGCGCCTTCTGTCAACTATCTCTTGTCGGGAATCTACGGACTCGTCAAGTTCATCGCAGTGCTTCTTTACTGCCTGTTCTTCATCGACCGTTTCGGACGACGTATGGGACTTTTCATTGGTTCCGGTCTTATCATTGGGTCTCTGACGTACATGACCGTCTATCTGGCTGTTGCCAGCCCATCAGGAGCCAATGGTACTGGTCCGGCTGGATGGGTAGCAGTCGTATGCATCTACATCTTTGCCCTTGGGTATGCGATCAGCTGGGGAACTATTCCGTGGATCATCAACGCCGAAGTCTTTCCCACGAAGGTCCGTGGTAGTTGCATGGCAATCTGCATTACCTGGCAATATCTTGTCAACTTCGCGCTCTCGCGCGCGCAGCCTAACATGGTGATTGCCATGCACTCATGGGGCCCGTTCCTTCTGTTCACCATATTCACCACCATTTCCACGACATACTGCTATTTTGCGTACCCGGAGACGAAGGGAATGTCCATGGAGAAAATGGGTCAACTTTTCCAGATGCCCTGGTACGAGGTCGGAAAGTCGAGTCTTGCCATTGTCAACTCTCAGAATGCCCAGTCCGGCGGGTCGGATGAAGAGAAGGTAATGGTTGTAACGGCGGAAGATGCACACGAGCATGAGGACAGCGCGAAGCAGACACGAAAGGAGTAACGATCATGAACAGCCTGGTTAGATCATACATGTACAAGAGATAATGCGCTCCTGCAGCTGCTGTATCGATACGGCCATAAGGCTCTCCCATAGTCCACTACTGAACCACTCACATCTTCCTTTGAACTTCAGCCTCGTCCCATTGCATAGGTATTCTCATTGATGAGAGATACAAAGTCTCCCGCTTGTTTTTCGTAGTCATGGTGTAAGAGAGCCATTGAATGGATCCAATTGGCTAGACACTTGTCTAGGTTCCTATTTGATCGGGCGAAAGCCGATGGCCACCCACCGGTAAATTTTCGAGGCAGTTCACCAACTCGGCCTTAATCCGACGACGAGTCAACAATACCGATGCACAGTCCTTTCATAAGCAGAACCTTCGTTCCATAGTCTGCAGGCATTTAATTGTACTTCATCAATTGAATCAAAGACAGGAGACAATCACGACCGGCTGCTATGACTACAGTCCTCATTATTAGCCGTGTGATATCAGGCGTTCAAATCATAAAGTCAGCGGCATTGCCTTGAAGCTATTCTGAATGTTGAATTTTCTTTGGTAGATGGAACGCAGCTTGGATATAAGCCTGAAGCTGGGTTGAAGTACATTTAAGTAACCGTATTGTCGCATTTCCTGATCTGTCCCACTCAGTGGCCAGCGCAAGGGCTTTAATACACATAGCAAGAATACTCCCGCATTTCGATCTTCGAAACTGGAAAACTCATTACCTTTTCAACAGCGCTACTCGATTTCAGCAGGCAGATCCGGGTGAAACGCTCCATGGATTCGGATGGAAATGGTTCGCCGACTTACCAAACGTACACTCTGTTTCTCCATGCTTGTCATGGTGAAAGGTTCCATGTATTGGTGTTTCAACCGACTTCGGAACATAACATGGAGGTCTCATCAAGGCCCCATTGTTATGCTTGGAAATGCAAAAGGTACGGGCTGAGGCAGAATAAACACAAAGGCTCTGAGACAATCCATTGTTGTGAGTGAATAGAGAACCTGAGAAGTAAAGGGCCTCATGCAAGGAAAGAATTGACGGTCTGCTATCACCTATGACGGATCTGGCACAAACATGCCTGGCACTCGGTTCGATCTTCTGTAAATAGCTGAAAGCAATTTATACCATGGCTCGGAACGTCAACGTTTCAAAGCAGACAGTTGATGAGTTATGGGCGTTCTCAAGTTTTGGGCCTGATGAAGTTAACCAGTATGACATTACTAGAGGTCGCAGAGAGTTCAACTATGAGAAGCCACGAGCAGTCTTTTCCTTAGGTTGGATTAGAAGGCAACACTTCGTTGTCTAGGATGGATGAAAAATAAAGACGCGCTTTCTTTGGGTCTTTCTTTGCATACATGCTTAAGTCTTTATTGATTTTCTTTTTGCGACCAGACCACAATGTGCTTAAGGGTATCAGACAAAGTTCCATTTCTGACTTGGAATCCTTTCTACTCATACCTTATGTTCAAGACATGCTACCATGCTTCATTCAGAGCACCAGAGAAAGATTTTGACTTCGTTTACGATGTATCTGTTTCTGTACATAAGTTCCCATCCACCCTCGAGGAGGCCTCCATTTCAAAGCTGTTGTAATAAGATCAAATCTGGGCTGATTACCTGTATTCTGTGTTGCAGCGCTCGCTGTTGTCTTCCCATTCCCATTCAACATTACTCAAACGCAAATCTTTCAAGAAGAGATGGAACTGAGATCAAGACCAAAGCCTCTTCAGCCCGAACCTGAGCCCAAACGACAATCCGGGTCAACCTGCCTCTGTGGTCAGTCTATCAACGTAGCACCAAATAAAGTCCGACGACATTATGGAGTTGTGCATTGCTATTGTTACGACTGCAAAGGCGTCTTCGTCAAGAGTACTCACACAAGAGCCAACCCAACCCATCGCATTGGAACATACGAGGAATTTCCTCCTGCCGACAAACGCCGTCCTCCAGTGGACAACAACCTTGCATCCCCGCATGTTTCAGAGGACATCGGAGGTAAGGTCAGTGGTCGACCAGTAACCCGCTTGCAACGTTTGCAACAAGCTCAAAATACGGAGAATCATGATCATCCAAGCCGCCCTCGTTTGTTCACTCTTTGGGTTCTGATCGGAGACACTGACGATGCGGGCGACGTGGTTCACAAATACAAGCCTGAGGACGTTTCGTTCTGTGATGTCAGCCTCTGTCTAGAGCCTCCCTCGGTTCAGCACGAACCCTGGGTTCCGGCTGCGAGTAAGTGGAAACAGCTGCAGAAGAGATTCCCGGGATTCCTCAAGTCATCAAGCGGGCTTGTGCAGGTCCATCAGTCACTCTTGACTAGCGTGATTGCAACAGCTTCCGATGGGAATGAAGTGAAAGGTGCCATACGAACTTGGGAGCAGGTCGAATCTCATCTGCAGGCCAGAGATCTTCACTCACACTTTGACCTCGACCCCCACAGAGATCGTCTGGTGTTGGCTCTTATGGAAACTGGATTTCCCGTCAAGTCAACCATCCAATCACAATACGACTGCATCGAGGACTATCTTCAAGTCATCGGTTCCGCTTACAACTCGCACACGATCGCATATCCGAGCAGGGAGGAGAGGAACGCAGCAGAGTACAAGCTGCAGGACATCCGCGCCCTGGATGAGATTGCCGAGGCCCGGGGCATGTGGAGGCCCACCACATGCTATGGTTTTGGAGACTGTGCTATGGCCAATAAGAAAGACATCTTGAAGCGCTCTTGGAGTTCCTCTTCTCTCCATGCAACAACTGACGGAGGACACGCTTCAAAGCTCACTTGTACCCGATCTAAGCGCCGAAAGGTCGACAAGAAAGCCGCAATCAACGCCGAAGAAGATGGCGAGGGTGTTTGGTTTCACCAGGAGTATGTGGAGATGTTGGCCGAAAGAGAACTCCGTGTATTCATCGCCACACGACCTGATCCCCATGGCACCAGAGGACTGCGAGGAGAAGTAGTGCGCGTGTGCTGCACCAGGCTCGACCCCAAGGAGGGCGGCATGCATGCCACTGAGGCCATAGACAACACGTACGAGAGGCTTGGCACAACGAAATATGCGGTTCATGAGTTCGCCCTCGATGTCTTCGAAGCTCTCAGAAATCCAGAATACGGGTGGAAAAGTCGCTTCGAGACACTTGAAGTGGGCTGTCGACTTGATATCTCGGCTAAGCATGTTGGTGGTCCATTATTTGTGAACGAGATTACCAGATGGAACGGGTCTCATTACTTCTCTAATTACTGTACTGGCGATCCTCATGCTCTGATATGCAGCACTTACGCCACTGCATGGAAGCGTTATGTTGAGACACTCGCTGGATGATTGAGGGAGACTGAATTGTTAATGGATTTTCTGCTACAGACCCTGATCCATTGATGTTGGGAAGTGGCGAATTCTTGCGATTGGTTTCCTTAAGATTTAGATGATCGATCATTGTTATGTGTATTAGTTCATTTTGACCGATGTCACGATATTTGGAAAAGATCAAACCAATGCTCATTATCGGTTGTGAATTGGGGCATGCATTGCAAGGCGACAAAAGTAAAGCCCAGCATGATGGTGTACATACGGTCGACTAAGTTCTAACCACTATTCACAGTGTCAGGCCCACAGATAGACAATATTACTCCAAGATATCGTTGATGAAGTTATTTCAAGCGGCCTGCAGGACTTTGTGAACACTTTGGCTGAATTTGTTGTTGAATGTGATGCTCACGCACCCCTTGAGTGTGGTTGCCTGTACGCTACCAATCAATCAACCGCAGCAAGCGATGTTGGAGCTAGTGAACCGCTCGTAGTTGCAACCCTCGCACACACAGGCGTTGGCCTCAATGGCACAGTGGCCACGGCCACAATCAGGGCTCCAGCCAAAGCCGGTCTCCCAGCAGTTTTGCGCAGCAGCCATGGTTGCAATGGCGCTGAGAACGACGGTGATCGAGAACTTCATTGTCGAATGTACTGATGCAGGCAGATTTTGAAGGATTTGTGCTTTTGGACCAGAAGTGAATGAGAGGGTAGTGACTGATTTGCGCGGATTGAAGAACGAAGAACCGAGAGATCAAGAAAGGGGATAGGTGGTGTTTAAATACTTATTATGATATCTACAAGAGCGCTTCCACGCCACCACAGACGGTTGTCGCCGGAGGCACACATGCGTGTCATGTCGTTCCACAGCTGAGATTCGCTACATTTAGTGCCAAGATGTTCGTTGTCTGGAGCTCATACCTCCTCCGCAGCTCAATATCCCTGCTACTGAATGATGGGGCTCCATGCAAGTGTGAGTCTGGAAATCCTTGATGACCCGGATTGATCACATCGGTGGCCAATACACCAGGATTTAACGGCATATTATGCTGTTTTCGGCTGATGCGCCGTTAGGGATACTATACCAGCTGCGATGCAACCCACATACACTTCGGGCCTTTCAACCTTAAAAGAATTGCCCAGCCTTGTCCCGGGATGTTCGTGGAGATCAGCTGGAGCGATGATCGGACGGCATCGGATCATGACCCAGTCGAGCAAAGAAGGCAAATGGCAATTGGTTGATGGACTATCAATCAGTGTGGGACCCTTGTCAATTGACCGGCGGCGGAAGCAGTCTGGATCCTTATTACTAGCTGAGTCGTCCAACTTTGGGTGTTGTTGATGGTGTCAATGAACATAGAAGTACATACCAAGACCGAAACTCCGCTTCAGCACCCAGCGTCACCAAGGGTAGCTCTTGGTTTCTAAGCAGAGACCAAAAGAGTCAAATGGGCACTCCTGGCCATGCAGCATCATGCTTGCCGCCTGATCAAGGTTGTCGAAGGCCTTGTTAGTCACAGTGGTCGCATGCGGAGTAGCCCTTGACGGCCGGTGTGGGAGATCTCCGGGGCCCACCCGGGGTAGTCCTCGGAAATCGTCAGCCAAGCCTGTTCGCGGAGCTCCATAACACAGCGCTCGGTGGATAGTCCGGAGACTTGACCACTGAGGAATCACATCCGAAGTAGGTACCTTTTCCGGAACCCCCGGATCCGCAGGAGTTGGTGCTATTTCGGACATAACTCGGCTGTGGCGCAGAATCAAGGTAAGCCACAGGGTTTCTGTAATACTGATGGGCTACGTCCAAGTACTTAAAGTCAACTTTGTCTGGAGAACCTTCAAGGGCATGGTTGAATGGATGTTCGTCAACCCGCACAGAATGTGCCTCCAAACTTCCTCCCCGCCCGATCACAAACTCGTGATTAGCATTTTCTTCAACTAGCAGCTTTCACGGTGGTCACTACCGTAAAAGCTTTATTTCTGGGTATTAGTACCACAGGCAGGTGCCTGCGGGACTATCGTCGCCGGTAATCGTCGAGAGTCTTTGACTCGCCAAGAGCATGATGTAGAATAGAATGTCCTGCATCGCACTACGAGGGCTCACTTATTTTGTTTTCTAGCTGCTTGAGAAGCCGTTGGAAAGAGCAATTGATGGATATCTGTCCCTCATCGGTGTACTTCTGATGGTTACTTCGGATCTCGGGATGGGAAAGGGGCTTGATACCTACGCCCGTTTCGACAGACATTCCTCCATTCCGGAGCTCGAACCTGACCCCCACATGTAAGACTGATTTTTAATGTTGTGAATGATTGGTGTTGTGTAATTGGAAAGTCTCAAAAAAGTCGCCCTATGTGCAAGAAGTTGAAATGGGAATCGGACAACTGATGCAGCTGCCGATCCCTTTGTGGGTATGTGCATCATAACAGCCTCCGCGAAATATCTACCCCTTTCTGGTCCCTGAAAGAACCCAGCATCGTCTCAGTTCTCAAAGCCCCCGCCATAAATGCGTAACATTCGTCTCTCTTCGCAACATTTCTGCCAAAGGTCTCCGCAACATTCAATGCATCATCTTGTGTTCAACCACTCCTATTCTTCAAACATCCACCTCTTCAGTCGTGAGAACACCCCTTATCGGCTGCCCCTCATCTTTGCAGGCTTGTACATGCGAGGCTGAGGGGTCTTGCCGCTGTTGGGGCAGGCGTCTCCGTGTCGGTAGATGATGACGGGCTTGCCGTCCGAGTCCTGAGTCTCGTACTTGGGGCAGTTGCACTGAGGAGCGTCGGCCATTTTGAACGGTTTGGAAGAGTGTGTGGTAGTGGTTATTTGATACTGTGTAGGCTATATGTCAGCGTTCGTAACTTCTCAAAGGTCTTGAAGGATCCAGTTGTCTGTCTTACTTACAGGTACAGTGGTTGAAACCCGTGTCAGAGGTGGTAGGCAGAAGCAGAAAAAGGGGCAGTAGTGGCGGTAGGATTTCAAGCTAGACTGGGATGCCGTGTGTGTCTGGTAGTCGATTCAAAGGCAGGAGTGAGTCTTAATGATCCTGAAGGAGTTGAGAGCTTGATTTGTCTTTCGGAAATCCTACATCTCAACCACGACGAACAGAACCATCTTATAATCGAATCCATCAACTGAGGCGCAGAACAAATCCAGCAGCGAACCCAACGTCGAGAAGAAGAAAATCTCTGTGACTCCTAGCTTTGAGCCTGCTGTTGTCCTCCAACGGGTAAGGCTACGACAAGGCATCTCAGGGACCCCCAGCGTGCGGCGAGGCAGATGAGCCAATTCCAAAGTAGAGCACGATTGGCAGTGCAAATCCAGTTTGGGGGAGGAGAGACGGGAGATTTCGAGAAGGGGCGTGGACTTCATTCGCTGCCTCTTGGAAGCAAGGGAGGGTGGGTTTTGTCCCAATCGTTGGAAGCAGATGGGAGGGGGAGGGGGGCCGGCACCTTCATTCCAAATCGCCGGGCCACCACTGATGACAGCAGGATTTGCAAATGGGCTGTGGGTAACATACCCGCGAGCCTGCCAACGGGCACAGCAACACGGGGTCACGGGGGCACAGAGGGACAGAATATGTGTGTGTGAGTGTCCAGGTTGGTGGCGCGGGCGTTGGGCAACTTGGCGAACACCACAAGCGGAAAGCTGAGGACTCATGGAGTCAGGTCCAGGGTTCCGGGTTCTATTGAACAATGGAGAACACCTGCTTGTTTGGCGAATCAGAGTTTGAAGCCGGGCTGTTGGTTCCTCGAACAAAGCCGGCACCAACGGGGGTTGGTCTCTGAAACTGGCCGCATTGTTGGTTGGTCACTGCAGCAGCTTTTGCAAAGTGGAAAGCCCAATGACGCCAGTGGTGTCCAGAGAAACCGTCATAACCGGCGCAGCAACGGGCCGGAACCTGCTTCGCCCCTTGCGAGATCAAGACAAAGAGTGAGAAGAAGGCCTTGACATATTGTCTCCCTACGTTGGAAACAATGCAATTTGTTGTTGTCCAGGTCGAGGCCCTTTCATTTAGAAAAGCTGCATCCAGGGCGTAGTTGTCACAACCTCTGACCTCGCCACATCCCAAATAGAAAAAAAAAAGGAGGATTCCGTTACCAGACTCTCGGGTTCGAAAAAGCAACCAAAACCGCCTGAGAAGCAAACGGCCTCGTGGGAACCAGCTCCTGACATGTTTGCCAATCTCTCACAGACCCCAGCCTCGCCCAGCAACCCGACTCCTGGATGTTGGAACGCCTTTCAACAGCAGGACCAACACCGCCAAGCAACAGCCCCCAAACCCATGTCATCGGTTCCCCTATCAAAACCCGTCGTCGGAACCGGGGGACGTTGAACAGTCCCAAACCCCACAAATCCTCTTCCACGCCCTTGGCTCACCTGCGGCGGTGATGCTCAAACCAATCACAGACGCCCCAACAACCAACAAGCAAACACCCAAAAGGGAGCTTGGTGGCCCGATTCTCCCATCTAATTTCCCCTGACGTACTTCCATTGTGCCATTGCAGTGACCAGACACGCCCAACTTTAACACAGCAGACACACCGTTCTCGGCCCGAAAAGCCTCTCCCGCAACGCACCCAATCACGACCCGTGCCCTCCAGAAGCACGCTAACCACCGCAACCGAGATGACGAGCTTCTACTTTGAGTCCCTCTGCACCACCAGTATTTCTCTCACTTTTATCGACCTTCTTTTCTGAGAGTAGGCTCCAGCGTGACTTTCGTGTCCTCCTCTTCCCACCACCCCCCGCTTCGCCCAGCGCTGCGCCGCGGCCGCCCGGTCTTCGCGCGGGTCGCGACTCCGTCTTCCACCAATCGCCGCCCGCGCCATGCGCCGCCGCTTGTGATGACCGCGGCACAACCAACAGCCGCTTACCCGCGTTTTGTGCGTGTGTGACAATGCAATAGGCTCTCGCTCTGTGCTGCTGCGTCTGCTAGGTTGCCAACCATTAGACGTTGAGGCCTTTCGGCCAGTCTTTCGCCACCTGTCTGCGCCCCTTATCCGCCGTCAGCAGCAACGCTCGTTGTTGGCCGTGGTTGCACACAAAAGTACCTCTTGGCTATGACTTCCATCTTTTGGATCACGAGCGCCGAGGTGTGGTTATGAGGTGACAGTCACAAAATGCGGCGTGGACATTTCTGAAGTTATCCAATTGTATTTCCCCAGATGCTATCTTCCACTTCCATTGAACCCGCTCAATGCTACCCCTTGCTATCTCATGACATTGCATGACAAAAGGGTGATGTGGTCGTATCCACCAGCCTATCTGGAAATTGGCTGATAAGCATGGCGTGCACTCGAATGCGGTTCAAACAAGCGAGGCCATCCGCGCGCCATGCGGCAAGTATGTATGAATGCTTCCAACAAACCATTTGCGTCCTTGCAGTTACCGATGCCACCGACCGCTCTTGAATGCCGATCCTGACGTTACCCGAAGTTTGCTCAAACATGGCAAATTGAGCTTGCCAGCGACTGCAAGTAGAATGTGGCGGTGGGACGGCTGAGTAAGGCTGATTGTGCAGTTGGGTAGATGTGCGGGGCGAAAGTTCCGGACCCGATTGTCTGCGAAGCAAGAGTCCGACAAAAGCGTGCCGTGGTCCACCGACGTAAGGACACGCCTGTGACAAACATCTGTCGGGTCTATTTGTCGGGCCGCTGGAGAAGAGGTCAATGGTGATGGCAGGGCGGAATCCGAATCCTGCGGCCCCCACGACCCCACAGCCACGGAGCCGCGATCGTCATGTAAGCCCGACCCCGACCCTGAACGACATCGCCTCAGTCCGCGAATAGCAACACGTTTGCTCACCCGCGCCTGCGCATAAATGCAGCTTCGGTTCTCATCCCAAGAAAGCCTTCCTACAACCAACTCCGTGTCCCAAAATAACACTCTCGCAACTGCCCGAGTCGAACAACGCCTCCTGCTGGGCGTTCGGATTGTCCATTGCATGTCCACTAGGTCTGCAGAGCGGCCTATGCGACGGACAATATGGTCGATAAAGTTCGGCTGCTGACCTTGACTTCCTTCATCGGGACTGCCTTCCAGTCGTGTTGATACACCGCCGCTGGCAAATTCCGAACGCTTTGTCGCTTCTGCTGACTATGGGGTTCGTCTGCTATTGCTGACCATTTTACAGTGCAAAGACGCCAGGCTGAGTAAACATTCTCGTTGAAACTATCGCCGGCCCGGAGACAGAAGGGCTCCGCCATTGCCAGAAGCAAGCTTTCGTAAACGGACTGATCCAAAAGGTGCTTTTCGTGTTCACCCCGTGCCTGATTCGGTGCCCGATTCTCTCATGTTCGGCGGGATTGTCGGGCTGAACTTTGGGCGTCGGCCTCGCTTCTTTTGTCTTGGTCGAGGGGGAAGCTGCACACCTGCGGTGGTGGGTTCGTTTGGTGAAGGTTCCCTTGTTCTACAGAGTCAGTCAGCTTCATCAGAGTCAAGCCGTGGCGTTGCTGCTCACTCCCTGTCCTTGAAACGCCTCCGCTTGATCATCTGCAAGGCCTCCTTGCGCATCTTGGCCTGGAAGTGCTCGTTGAAGTCGAGAGTGATTAGATCCCACATGCAGTGACGCTTAGTGTGGCGGTAGTGGTCCAGAAGGTAGTAAAGATACTCCTCTTGTTCCTGGCGGCTGGCACTGGCGTTGCCATTAGAGGTACTTGTATTGGAGACCACGGACGGCCCCGGCACGGGACGGTCCGACGGCTGTGTCATTTGGACATGACTCGGCGGCGAGTCGTGGTAGCCCAAACAGTTGATGCCCATGCGCGAGCAATTTAGACCTGTCCGAGCGCGTTAGCATGTACGCCACAATATTTGACAAGCGCACCATGCCGAGGGAACTGCGAAACATGGGGACCTACACGTTGGCCGGCTCTCGTCGCACGGCATCTTGCGGACTTGGCACGTCTTGCAGCCGGGATCGGTCGGCTGAACACGGGGCTGTAGTTGGGGACGGGCAGTCATGACAACATGAGAAGGGTTTGGCCGGGCGACAATCATGGGGTCGGGGCCATCATGTCCGGACAGGATGGGATTGAGAGTTAATGACGAGGGCATCGGGCCCGGAGGCAGAACATGACTCGCAGCGGGATGCGGGACGGGGACGGGCAAGATGGAGACGGAAACATCGTGCATCATGGGCGGCGTCGGGGGCTGACTCGGGCGTGATGCGGTTCGGCGTGCGGCATCTGCATCTGCATCTGCATCGACGTCGTCATCGCACAGGACGTTCTGTAATGCCATGACGGGACACTGGCCGGGCTTGGGGGCGGCGGGACGACATGCCGGCCTCTCGGACGCAGTGTGACTTGCGTTGCTGTAGTTGCTGCTGCTGCTGGTGAGGGTTGGATGCGATGGTGTTGGCGATGGCGACGGCGGGAATCTGAGGGCGTCGGGATGGCGGCTGTTGGCGGCAGTTGGCGGTGGAGGTGGCGGTGGAGCCGGGGCCAGACGGCGGTGAGTAGGATGGCGCGGCTCGACGCTGGTGCTGGTGCTGGTGCTGGTGCTGGTGTTGGCGTTGGCGCTGTTGGTGCCGATGCTGGTGCTGCTGTTGGTGCTGTTGGTGTTGGTTGCAGCGGCAGCGTTGTTGGTTCCCGTGTTGTTGGTTGCTCTCCTCACAGACATGAAGGGTGATGATGAGTAAGACGAATAAGGTTCGGATCCGTCGGACGCGGCGTCGTGAAGCACATTGACAGGCGACGCCGTGGCAGAAGAAGCAGCAGTCGGTCGGGAATCCGCAGCGACGGATGTTGCAACGGCGGCGTCGGGCGATGCAGCGGCGACGATGACGGGAGCAGCGGGCATCCGCATCATGTCTCACTCTGCGGAACAGTCTCCGCAGATATTTGTGTTGGTTTGGAGGACGCAGTCGCAGATGCAGGCGCGGCCCTCAAGACTCGTCGGACGGCAGACGGTGCGCGAGACACGACCGACGTTCCCTCTTTTTTTTTCTTCACGCCTCACGCTCCGCGCTTTTCGCTTTTCGCACCCTTCCACGTCCAAAACACGCGCGTGCGCCGGGTGCTAGTGGTGCGGTGCAGTGCAATACAATGCAGCGCGCAGCAGCGCAACGTGATGGTAGCGCAGCGCAGCGCAGCCTTGGTCAGGTTGCCTTTATTCCCGCCCTGCGTGCTGCTGAAGAAAAGCAACTCGGCACGAGTAAGGTAAGGGGCGGCGACGGCGACGGCAACGGCAGCGGCGGCGGCCACACAGACAAGGCGGAGCGGAGAAGGGGGGGGGGGGGGGGATAAGGAAGGGAAGGGATAGCGACGGAAGGGATATGACGGGATGATAGGGACGGGAAGGGTTGGGATGAGAAGGGATTGGAATGATGGGAGGATCCGATGGGATGACACGTGGAGAGCGTTGGCCGTTGGCTGTTGGTTTGTATCCGTTGTTGGTAGTCGAGTCCAGCCCGGGTTCAGGCGTGTTGGTTCGATCCTCTTTGTCAAAGAAAGTGTAAAACGGAGCGGCTGAAATGCAAAAAAGAATCAACTGCAAACAGAACCAACAGACGGGACCAACAGCAGAAGCAGGGATGGGCGGGGGTGGAAGGATGGATGGAGGACAGGACGAGGAGCTGGAGGGAGGGATGAGGAGGGACGAGCGAGACCTGAACTGACTTGGCCTGACTTGGCCTGACTTGACTGACCTGGCCGCAGACCTGACCTGACCTGACCTTGACGCGGTCGGTACCTTACGTACGGGCGAGGCAGCAGCAGCAGCAGCAGCGGCAGAGCAGCAAAGGGGGGACGGGACACTGGAGGGGGGAGGGGGGAAGAGGGACGACACAGGGAAGGGGGAAGGGGAAAAAAAGGGGGGGACGAGCGACGAGCAGGAACAAATAAAAAGAGACGTGGATTCCCCTCCTTGCCCGCTGCTACCGTGACCTTGCCGTGACCTTGCGGATCCAATGGATGCTTTGCTTGGAGAATGGAGATCAGGAAGAAGGAGGACGCGGGAGACACGGAGGGACGGACGGAAAGAAGGGAAAGGGAACCTAGGTTGGAAGGCACTGGATCTGGATCTGGATGATGGATCTGGACCTCAGGCTGCTCGGCTGCTGCCACTCGCTTCCCGTCCCGCCTGTTCCAAGGTTGGCTGCTCCTTCTCTCTCTCTCTCTCTCTCTCTCTCTCGGTTCTCTGGCAGAAAACAGAAAATGGGACGGGAATGACCTGAGGCCATCTTTCCATCAACAAATAGGCGAACCAGGTGCACACGGTATCCGTACACCTCACTCTTCAGGGACCATTTCAGGTGGGAGAAAGTGGGAAACCCACCCACCTGCCACCTGCCCTGTCTGTCCTGCCACGCCACGCCTGCCTCCCATCAGAACCTGGAACCACGCACTCCAACTGGACTCTGGACCACCACCTTCCACGCTTCGCTCACCGATAGTACGTACGTATCCATTCCGTACCCAAGGAAGGACCGCCGCACCTTCCTTTCTCGCCGTTTCATTTGTCAGACAAAAATAAAAACGACAGCGCACGTACCACATCCAGCGCTATGCGCCAGGAAACAGGTGGACGACCACCACACTACTAAGTACGAATAAGCGAGCACCGTTCCACCTGCCGCCCGACCATTGGCCCGTCTCCCGACGACCCGCTACTCAAAAGCGCCCACCTTTGATTGGCTCCATCGCGCCATTCTGTCCTGCACGTGGACGCGTTGGTCACACCAAATTGTTGGTTCCAGCCAACCAACACCCGCCCGCCAATCAATTCTCGTCAATTATTCCCCTCACCCAGGAACCTCTTTGTCTCACCTCACCGCCTTCTCACTCACGCCCTCGAATCATGAGTCTCATCCCATCCAGTTGCTTGTGCCTTCTCTCCTTCTGTCGTTGGCAGAGAAACGTTTAGTGTCGCAGACTAATGAACCTCATGATCTCATATGCTCTCATTCATCCAGCCTTCTTGATGAAATATGTGCTTGCATTGGGGGTTCGACATATATACGGATACACTGCACAAGTGCTGAGAATTACATGCAAATCGGCAATCAGGCAACAGTGGCGTTGGTGCATGCCGTCTCCCAAGCAGCCCAGGAAAATGGCTGCACAAGAATACCATCGTAACCAATGTCGATACCCGTTTGGGTCGTCTCAAGGCCTCCCAAAGGCGTGGCATCCCAGCCTTCACTCGTCGGTCCGTTTTCGGGATCCACAATGAAGGAAAGCCACAAGTCCTGCATCTCGTCGCTGACTTCATACTCAAACGCGGTAGACTTCTCACGCGCAATGTCGTGAGTCCCGAAAATCAGAGGAAGCTCCGCCGAATGGAACGCCCCCTGGCCTCCGGGCATGATGTTGGTGAAGTTGCTCGAGTACATGTAGCGGTACGTCCGGAGACCGGCAATGTCCCTCAGTCCAGCCTCGTAGTGCGCCGGGCACCCGAACAAGTTGTCGGCCACCACATCGGAGCCGTTGGTTGATGGGGCTTCAGAGCTGCCGCTGAAGTTCCATTCATCCCTGGTCGAACCGACGATCGAGGGCCCTTGGGCGACCTTTCCGTTCAAGGTGCGCTCTGCATAGTCGGAAAACTTGGTTCTCTCGTCAACGACAACGTTGAACGTCAGATTGCTGGCTTGGCCGAGATACTTTTGGATGTCCCGGAAAGGAACCTTCCTCAAGCATGCCAGCTCATCATCTTGGCACCCGAATGCGGTCGCCAGCGACGTGAAGCTGGAGTGTGTCGTGTCGGCGCTTCCGATGGGGATGAACGGTGATCCCGAGTTCTTGATGAAACCGATCGCGATGGGGTCCTCGGGGTATGCGTATTGGTAGTATGAGACCGACGCGGCGCCGGCACTTTGACCCCAGAGGACGATGCGCTCAGGGTCGCCGCCGAATTTGGCGATGTTGTCCCGGACCCATTCAACAGCCAGACGCTGGTCCAAAAGCCCCAGATTCTGTTCCTTGAGGTCAAGACCTGCAGCATTGGGGAATCCCCAGAGCCCAAGACGGTAGCTACACCAAGGTCAGTAAGGTACACACGGCTTTTGAGAGAAAAAGTCCTACTTGATGGCGACAACGATATGCTTCTGGCTTTTCTGCACCCATCGAGTCGGGGTTTGGTAGGCAATGTCATTGCTGCCCTGGATCTCAAAGTCAACAACAGTTGCAAATACTGTTCAAGGAGTTGCTAACCTCAGTAAAACCACCGCCGTGAATCCAGACGACGACTGGAAGAGCTTCCGAAGAGTCGACTGGGGCCCATACGTTGAGCGTCAGGCAGTCTTCGCTGGTGCTGTTGGGCCGGATCAAGAACTCCGCTTTCCATGCGCCTCCACCCCCCGGAGGATCCGTCTGCGGACAAGACGGACGCCGGAACGACGCGTTCAGATTCCCGAAGGACTCCTTAGGCAGGGCAGGGAGCCACCGACGGTCTCCGACCGGCGGTTCGGCGTAGGGGATGCCGTAGAAATGCGCGACCGATGGTGCCGATGCATCCGTGAAGCCATTCACTACGCCGTGTTGCGTCTCAATAGAGGTACTGGGCAACGCATAGATATTCTGGACGACGAGATTGCCCAGCGCTGAGATGGCAGTCAGGGCGTGAGAGGTCCGGAGCTGCATGATGGAGGAGGCGTTGCTCCACAAGAATTGAAGTGCCGCCTCCATCGCTGCTGCTGCTCTTGAGCATTTATATCAGTCTCGATTCCGAACTCGCTGCCGGGTAGATTTGCGGAGCCGGTACATTTGCCGCGTGCGGTGCCTCGCTCCGCGTATTTGCGGGGTAAACAATCCCGAGCCGAAGGGAGAGCGTTGAAGATCGTCGGCTCGCAATGTAGTATTCGGAGCGTTGTGTTTAGTGAGGGGAAAGAGTCGGCTCGATTGGCTTCTTTGGTAATTTTCTGGGGATGACGTTGATTCGACCGAATTGGAGCATGGGGAAGGGCCGAACAGGTGGGGTTTCAGTCCAATCAGTCCGGGGATTGTTCCCTCGCATCCTGCTTTGCATGACTCTCGTTTCCTCTTCCCCGTGGAGAAGCACGAGGTGTGTCTGGCGAGTCGCGTGAATAGTCGAATAGGGTGACAGGGTTGGCCGACCGACGGGATGCTTGGTTGCGTGCTCGAACAGGTAGTCACCTCGGGCCGATCGTCAACACGACAGTTGTCGCGATCTTGATCGTCGTTGCTTCACATAGACGCAGCCTCACATGTCGAGAAATTGACCAACGCCATCTTCAGCGTTGCTGTAGCTGCCGAGTCTTCGTGAGCATACTTTGTGGAAGTCACGCAGATTCCCTTGAATCATGGAGCCACTCTCGTCGTATCCCGCAGTGATGCTCGAGCTGAGTGTTGCAAATACCAATTTAAGCTGATTACATTTAGACATTTTGATCCAGAAGGAGTCGAAATGTCTTTTATTTCGGGAACGTGCCAGTGTTCACACGCAAAGAATATTACGAGCGTCCGGCGAGTAGCCAGACCTCCCATTGTGTTCCAATGCGGCTCAGCGATGCCCACTCTCTTATCTCATTAGACGTTGAGAGTCTGTGGTCTCTACCATATCCCAAAATGCGAGGAGGGAGTCGCACGATGATAAAAGAGTCAGTTTGCTTACACAAATCAACTCGCCTAATTGTGTGGGATGCTGCACCGCGACTCCGTGTCAAGATGAGTGCTTGTCCCAACCTCACATAGTGAGACCCATCGAGTCACAGTTGACAACGATCTATGGTCTGACTTACTTACCCCTCCAAATATGGACGCAGAACGCTTGCCGTTGTACGATTTCTTGAAGATCTCTCGGAAGTGTCTCTTCATGCTTGATTCTTGTTGCACGCCATACCTTGTCGACTTCAACCATGAGCATCCTCGTTTCTCCGACGAATCTTTGTAGTCAAACAACTTGATCGAGTCCAACAAATCGAAAAGAAGAACACGAAGGGTAAAATCGATGATCGGAAGCAAAGCTCATCAGCAACATGTCTTAGTCGTGCATCATCTCATTTTGGCTGACGTCAGTGCTACGGAATTTCAGATGCGCCACAACGCAGTAAGAACCACCGCATTGGGACCAGTTCCACGTGGCTTCCGTGAAAGGGATGCGCTCTGTTACGCCATGGTCTGCCAGTCAATAAGTCGACGGCGTCATGACTCCGTTCTGCGGCTGCCTCGGATGTGGATGAGTTGTTGTATATATGTGTGAAATATCTGCGACAGCTGTAAGTCAAACTTGTTGACCTTCTTGAAGACATGATTCTCCTCCGACGGTTGCATTTTATCACTTCACATTTCCCACGTTCACCAACCATAAGTCCAGCATTCAGCTTAACACGCAAGATGGCCTCGCAACCTTCTCACATCAATTTCCCCGGAAAGACCTCCGCAACACCCGGCGAAGAATTCGAAGTCCGCCAAACATCCACATCTGAGGACTGGCACCCTGATCCATCAAAGTCATTGCCTCTTTCGCCAGCTCGACAGGCATTGATTGATGATATCATTGCGTTATACTCCATGGAGCCGACCGTCGACCGGGTGAAGCGCTACACTGCCGACTGTGTCTACGACGACCAGTTTGTTTACGCCAATGATCGCTACAAGATGGCGGGACAGTGGTTCGCCTTGCCCAAGCTTTTTAATGCCAGCAAGAACGAGGGATACGAGATCGTCAAGAACGACCGCGACTTGATCCAGTTCAAAAATGAACAAAGCTGGACATTCAAGTTGATCCCAAAGACTGCGACCATCAACGCGCTCGTCAGCCTGAGCTTGGACCCTGGAACAGTCGATAGCGACTTCATCCAGGTCAAGTATCACAAGGATCAGGCAAATGACAAAGACTACAGTCACGAGTAAGTCCTAACACTTGCTGGGAGACATGACAACGCTAACCGCCGATGTCCTATGAAGGGGCGTGGGCTTCTCGTTCAAGAAGTGGCAAGCGGACAACGTTGCAAAATACATGGACAGCAAGGAGGTTGAAGTATTCATCGCCGACAAGGACGCAAGCAAGAACAAGGTCAAGAAATATGGAACTGGCAAAGCTGAGGGTGATGCCCCGATGAAGGATCTCTAAACAGCAGCGCGAACGCAATAAGAGATGTACAAATTCAAAAGACTAGCAATAACCCCGTCTTCCTAAATCAAATTCGTGGTTTCAGTGGTTCCTACGCTTGACTCGCGCGACCACGCCTTCTTGTCTGGCAAAGAAGGTGTTTCTGGTGTGCCACTGAGTCTTGGCTTGATCGTAGAATTCAAACCGATAATTCCACACCAACTGAGGAGAAAGCTTGTGCAGCTCAATCAAGGCAATGCTCTTGCCCAAGCACGTACGTGTGCCGCCGCCAATGGCCATCATGAACTTGTCCATGTAGTTGGCGCGAGACTGATCCATCCAGCGGTCAGGGTTGAAACTTTCTGCGTCTGCACCAAATACTTTCTTATCAAAGTGCAGCACGGCGGCGTTGATGCCAACAACATAGCCACCCGGGATGAACTGTCAGCAGAGCGTCATGCCCTGAGGGGGCACAATACGAGGCAGAGCTGTGTTTGGTTTGTCAGAGGCACGCCCGGATCATGAAGCAAGACGACTTACATAGCTGGGCACCAGTATGGATACGAAGAGCCTCCTTTATGCACGCGCAAAGGTAGGGAAGTTGGCTCGCCTCTTTGTATGTGGGAGGCATGCTGAGACGACCCTCATTGACGGCTTGGTCAACCTCAGCCTCCAGCTTACGGTACGCCTCCGGATTGTGCATCAGGTGATAGAACAGGGAGCGAAAGGCGATGGCAGTGGTGTCGCTGCCAGCAAAGAGTGCACCGTAAGACTCTTGCTCAACATCTCCCCAGCGGTAGTCGAACTTTTCACCACTCTTCTCGTAGATGGAGAAGACCTGCTGTGCCATGTCGGTTCTGGGGGCCTCGAGGCGCGACTCATACGCATCCTTCATGAGGCGTGCAGAAGACTCGCCAATGTTCTTTCTAGCACCAGGTGTCAGCTGAAGTACGCTTCATGAAATTCCAGACTATCAGCTCACACTCCCTTGGCAATCTCCTTGCCTGCAGATGTGAGCATGCATCCAATGCCAACGAAAGGGCGCAGGATCGGCGGCGCCACACCCATCAGGCAGACGAAGGGAATCATCTTGTCGAGAGACTTGATCCAGTCATTTTGGTCCTTTCCCTCATCAACGAATCCAAAAGCTCGGCCATAGAAGAGTTCACCAATGATGTCAAAGGTGTACCTGTTGCACTACTTAGTCCGGACTTCTTGACCGTGTGAAGACTTTGTTAAAAACGTGGTGATGGTCACTCACCAATGCAGCCATTCTCCGATATCACAGGGCTTTCCCGAGTCAGCGTACTGTCCCAAGCGTTCGGTCAAGAGGTCGCTGCAAGTGTCGATGTATTGCTCGGACTTGAAACATTGCTCATGGAGTATACACTGCTCGTGATCCTTCGCCTTTGGCCATGCTTCTTGTCGCTCTTGCAAGAGAAGACATCGCCGTGAGGGCTGAAACCGGTTGTATTGTAGGGCTCGTAGAATTGGGCTTTATCCAACGCGTTGGAAAAGCGATAGATATCCGCAAATGCGTCAGGACTACAACACCTATTAGCCACGAGTAAATCAAGAACCCGTTCCGAGTTCATATCCTTACTCCGACCATGAGATCTCGTCTGGTGCCAGTCTGACTAGTGGACCATATTTTTCATGGAGTGCTCGTTCATCCTTTTCGACGTCCTCGGTCCAAATCTTCAACATGTACCACAACCGTGATACCGTCGCAAGGAAAGGCCCGGGGATTCCGCTGAGGGGATGGAATGTGCGTGCATAGACGACCAAACCAATCCAGTAGATGACTGGGAGTGCCACAAACACCCCAACTCGAGGTAGCGAGAGCTCCAGGAACATTGTACTACGCTGTTGTAAGGCGAAAGACAAGCGTATCTTGAACTAACTTGGACCGAAAATGAGAGTCTGCGTCTGCAAAATGAGGGGGTTCCTGGAGCCTATTTATAAGGCTAGTGGGGAGACGACATGCGCAATCCCATCCAGAAGTCACGCCCAGCGCTACCGTGAAAGATGCCCCACGACAGATCCAAGCGACCCGACATTAGATTGTCCATGCTGAGCAACCCATGCGGACGGACGTCTGACATCGCTTCGCCGAGTAGTACGGATAATAGTGGAGTTGATTCCGTGTATCGGCTTGCCCTACCGTCCGAGACCGAGAGACTTTCTATCTGGACAACATGAAGTTTCTGACCGGAGTTCGGAGCAACACAAATAGGTACCCTGGCGATTGAAGGACACTAGTGTTAGCCCATGAGTCATTTGGCATATTTTATGGGATACCCGAATCGAGTTGAGTAGTGTCGGACGCATTTGACTTTTGCTAATGGATCGCGATTTGGACATGACGCAAAATAGCACACCGAGAGGCAAGACATCACGGCCACTAATAGTCCTACTAAGTGAGCAACATGTTTCAAGAGACGAGATTACACCTTGTTCTGAAGAAAGATTCTGGTTCTAAGCCTTATGATGCTTCGTGTGGAATCCGAACGCGAACATCTGCATGAAATAGGCGATGCGCGTCAAAATTGTCATCAAGCCTGCATTCCATGAATGACTTTTGAGAGGGCATTCAGAACTTCTGTGACCCCCCCCCCCCCGTGAGAATGATGCGAGGGTTTTGACCTGGTGGGTTAGTTCCGCCGGCAGTCGGGTTCAACCACGATGCCGAATCTTATCGCCTGGATCCGCAAGAGCTGAGGAGACGCCGCTTGATCACGAGTTGGAAGTTTGAATGAATTTTGGGATGAAGCGGACATTAAAATTGTCTTGGTATTGTAGATAAATAGCTGATTTGCTTGCTTTCGTCATAGCATGGCGATAGACGAATCAGAAGTTGAGCCATGTCAAGGGTGTGATCTTGATTAAGTTGAGGTACCTCAGCTGGTCAAACGCACACCGAATGGATCCGAAATAGCCAAACATTGTTTGAAAAGGTCGTATCATTGAGAACTTACTTTATTGAAATGAAGACGATCCGACTGTGTGGAAAGAGTGGAGGTTGCTCACAGGGAGTAGTAAATTCTGCCCCGAGCCACCCAGTCAACCAAAATAATGAACACCAACGACGCAATGATTAACACAGCCCAATTCATGTTCACTTTGTATTATCAGTTACATGTAATCGAAAGGTTGATGGAATCATCTTCGGAGGTAGACACTCACAAGGAAAGCGGCATCAGCAGGACAGTATTAATAACCAACATTCTTGACCGAAAAACGCAGATCTTACCACAACATGATTATAACCAAGGACGACCAAATACCCGACGCAATGTTAATAGGCTTACCAAACCTACCAAGGCTGAATGCACGATTGTCGGGCAAGCAACCGCGCCCAATCACCAGAAGCAGCCACCCTAGCGTCAGTACCATGGAAAGCCAACTAGATCTCTCGCATTGGATTGCATACCATTATCACAGGAATGAAGTATCCAATCTGGATAGCTACACCGCCGAGACTAACGATTTCTTCGAAAGCGTGGCCACTCCCAAAGACTTCCAATCCTGCGGACAAGTCAGAATGTCGCATGTTGTAAAGAGGACTGTGTGTACCTGTCGCCATTTCCGCCGCCACGATGAAGAAAAATAGCGTTGATTGGTGTCCGGAAACTGGAGTTGATCCGGAACAAAGCGGTAGAAAATGGCATGGCATTATCCCTGGCTAGTCCCCAAGCCAGTCGTGACGCAGCGCTGTTGATGCCCATTATGACCAAGAAGCTGTGAAACAGAATTCTTGTCAGCAGCCACATAGATATTGATGATGTCATCAGCACCTGATAACTTACTTGAGTGACACGATTATCACTGTTATGAAGGCTATGCCCCCGGCTGTGTACCTTTAGGGGATCGATTATCCAAGGTATCCAGGGCAGACTAAGAATCGTAAGTCATCATCACGGCCTTAAAGCCATTGGTTTCAGGCACTCCTCCGGTGCTCACTCTGCATCAAGAGACTCCGGCCAATTTCCAGTGGCAAATGAAATTAGCAGAGCACTCGGAAGCCAAGTGATTCCGCTGAAGATCATGGACGAGATCATTGGTCTCTGCAAAAAGTATATCAGTCATTGCAGGCAATATGTCATGTTTCCGAGAAGATGTCATCTTACTGGCGCGTTTCTTTTAGACATCCTTCTCGAAGTCCGCTTCGAGCCTCCTCTTTGTGAGGGTAAAACTACTGCATCCAGCCGGGGGCACATCAACTTCGCCGCTAAAGTACACATGGAGATTGAAGGTGACAATTTGCGCGCTTGAGCATGTGCATCATGACCAGCTCGTTGGGTATTCAGTTGCTGAGGAGATGGACTGATTCCAGGAGGAAACACGCACTTGGTGTTCTTCGGGTCTAACAGAGACTCTTCCAACCCGAAAGACGATGTTTGTGACTTCTTGTTCGACGCTCAAGGATTTCAAGAAATGAGTGTCAAGCAAGTGGTATGTCCCCATTGCGTATATATTCGCTATGGCGGACTGAGCTGGGCTTTTGCTAATGTTTATCCAGGTTTGGCACAATTGGCTTGCTGACTCATTATCACGAGGAACATGGTGTAACTTTGCACCAGGCTACAGTTTCAAGTAACTCAAAGATCTCCGAAAACACCAAGGCAATATACTATTTGCCAGTGGGGACTGGGTCTTAGGATGGAGGGTATTCATTGATGGCGATATCGAGGAAGGTACCAGAGCTGCCAAGGCCGTCATGGACGATATGCGGCCGGAAAAACCATGTTTATCAGCACTTTGAAAAAGTTCTACTTGCACTATTAGGAATGTCAAGTAGCCCAAGAAAGGTTTCCCTTCCCATGGCTCGATCAATCATGAAAACTCCCCGAGATTATGGTGCTTTATGTCATAGAGCAATCGGGCTCACATTGATCACATGATGAATACTTTAGCTTGTGGTAGTAGTGAGATCCATCGATCGCCCAGTGTTCTTCTTTTCCAGACTCGTTCAAGTTGATCCATGCCTTTGCGAAGATTCTCAAAGCCGCTGCGCTTGTAGAAAGATGCGAATACCTCCCGGAAGAATGATTTATGCTCTTCCAGAACACTGTCGGAAGCCGCCATAAAGGTTGCCCAGATGAGGACTTGTTTACCGGGCGAGTCAGCAGGGAAAGATTCAAACGTCTCCTTGAATCGTTGAACTCGGCAGATAGACTCGGCGAACTGTGGAAAGCCGTCGCTAACGGAAGCTACCGACAGTATATCGCGACGCGCTTGGTCGAGATATATGTCGTAGGATTGCTGGATGAGACTCATGACCAACGACGTAATCGGATAGTGCTCTGGCTGATGCTGAGAGCAGTGCCTGATGCATTCAAACGCCTGCGTGATGTTCTGGCGAGTGCTCAGTGTTGTGATACCCCACTGCTCATTGATCAGCGGTGCAGCGTATACCCGCATTCTGGAAGTGGAAAAGTTAGCTGTGATCACAGCCTAGACCTCTGGAGCCCCGACGGCGCAAGGTAACTGTTGGTGCGGAAAAGGCGGAATCTCTCCAGTGGCGAAGATCCACAAACGCTTACTTGTGAACTTGGCGGACGATAAAACGTGACAGCTCATCTTCGCCCAGGCTGTCTTCTCCCCCGATGGCTTCGAGTGCGGACTCAAGTAAGCGAAATAGCAGCGGGAAGTCATCTGAACCTGTGACCATGACTGCTACCAACAGCACTAGGATGGCGAGTAAGATGGACAGTCTAGAGGATTGGTCGCTGTGTCCGAGATCTCGGCGTTGAAGATCTGCAATTGTGCAGGCGTACAGCTGAGATGCTGAAGGATTGTCGTTTGCAGATAGCTGATATGACAGGCCCGGCGGTGCTGGAAGGGAGTCCTCACGGAAATCCAGGCTCTTTGATTGAGATAAGCGTTGCCCGTATCGATGGAAAGAGGCGACTGTCAACACTGAGTTTAGTACCAATTGATCTAGATGGGCAATTGGCAAGACCAGATGCCTCCACCCGTTGTGCAAGCCATCTATCGCCACCATTTCCCCGGCGATATGATCGGAGACTAAGAAGACAGTCAACAGGTTGAGCAACTTGAGGAACACTGGCATGAAGAGATTTTGACGAGACGTACAATGACGGATAAGAGGTACCGCCCATGATGCGACTTTGGCAGGTGGCGGCTGAACCCTTAAGCAGCCATGCTTCCGTGCTATCCCCGCTGTTGCCATGTTTCTCGTCTGAGCGAATTCCTGCGGCCTCTGCGACTGGAGGAGAGGTTTATTGTTTGATGAATCTACCACAGACTCAACATTGTCGTCAACGGTAGCTTCGCTGAGAGACGCCGGGATATCCGCATAACCCAGTACTTGATCGTTGTCTTGTAGGAAATGTTCCTCACTGCCAAGTTCTTCATACAGCTTTGCGCTGTTTGGGCATGGCTTTGATATTCGCTCCAGGGATGACGCTTTTACTTGTTGTTCGGCATCTCGTCTAACCGCTGTTAGAAAGTAGAAACGGGTTGCCGAAAGAAGTGTGCTGGTATCACGCACCCCTCGAAGACTTCCTGGATTGTCTTGCCCACCCAGAAGCCCCGGGCAGCGATACCATCGCTGAAGCGATGTCAAATGCCGAGCCCACTGCACTTTAGGCCTCTGGATTGGCATTTCTCGCATTCCGGCTCCGTACGATCGCAGCTTATCCTACGTTTTGAGCACTCAAAGCAGCCTGTGGTCGAAGTAAACCCTGGGATTAGTTCAAATCTGGGGATAGGGGTGTAACCCGGGGGTGGGGTTCAATCGGACCTCTTGTCTTGGGCCGGTACGGACGGGGCTTCCGGGGCATGATTTCGCAGGTAAATGCCCAAAGCGGCCCGTGTAAAATACCATGATGCACTGGAGATGAGCAGGCAGGGAATAGAAGCTTAAATGAGACCAGAATGTGCTCTGTTGACGACTGTTATCTTCGACGTGACTAGTGTCGCCGTGATCGGTGCCCCGCCACCGAGTGGAGAGATAACCAACACTATGCCAGATTCGAAAGGTTAAATGAGACCACTGGTTTGCCGGCCGTCCGGGTGACCTGCCGGCAGATTTACCCCGCATCGGTCCACTACCCGGCCCTGGATCGACGATAAGACCTAAGAAGCTATTTTGCTGGAGACCATTGCATAGAAATGATTCGTCACAATGAAAGCAATCGACTCTGGGGCAACAAGCATTAAAAGAACATTCAGGATAAGTTCGCAGTTCGCGAGTATTATGACGAGATCACGAGCCTGATTCCTGAAATTACCATGAATCAGGATAACAGTCTTTGAGTTCTGGAGCTCGAAAAATTGAGGAGGGGAAGTCTTCCTCACGGTCAACGCAGGTTATCTAGTCTTTCTTCATCAAATGATATGAGCTGCCATTGCATGTGAGGTACCCAAAGTTTGCTGCCCCTTCGCTGAAAGTCATGCCTCTACCGAGTCTTTTGTATATGTCAAGTTTTTTGGAAGGTGTTTCTGAGGCCAAGTAGCGGGCATCTTCGACCCTGGAGTGTCTTTAGCCAATTCTACTCAGTCCTTTTGGTAGTCGGCGTTATACTTGCTGGTCGACTATTCATCGTTGTGGTTGGTATTAGTAGTGGACATCGCAATCTTCGGCTCAAGTATAACATTTATCGCCTCCCGCGTATTGCGAAAGGCTTGTGGCCTTAACAGCACTCTCATCGAAGCTCGGCCCAAACTCTATTGCTTCTGACAGGTTGATATCACCCATCGAGACACCAGAGTTATGACACTCTGCCTTTTCGACTTCCCACTGGGTATTTGGATGCCCACGTTGACACTATTTCCAACCTCCATTCAAGCAAGATTCTTCCCACTTCAATGCATCAGTCTTAAGGCTCTTCCAGATCCATTGCTTTGGCATCTCGATTTGTTTCCATGCGTTCTCTTCTCTTGGGCTCCATTCACTCATCAAGTTCAAAGACTCATCATGCACAAAGATACTATCATGACCACAACGCCGCGATTCTTTCAGCCTGCACTTCTGAATGATTTTGGAGGGTTCGCTCGAGAGGCCTGGTCTCAGTGTCCTCGCCTTCCATATGCTGCCGAGACAGTACCTGCCTGGCTGTGACCAGAGCCTCAGCCCATGCGGGTCCATGGCAGTCTCGGGGAAGGTGCTGCTGATGTCAAAGGCAGGTGTCGATGGCACTGGCCTTCCTTTCCTGCCCCTCGACGCGTTCCAGTTCTTTCCAGACCTCGAATCTTCCGTTTGAAACTTTCCTCCTTCCTTCAACATCCGTGGTTTTGAAGCCACTTTCCTGGGAATCGAGGAAATTCGAGCACCAAGACGTCGACTCCGACGTCTCTTGCCTTGCTTTCAGCCACGGTGTCTGCAGCCTGACTACCAGAGTTGACACGCATTTCACTCGCCCAGAACATTCCGGAAGTTGCTGCGGCTGTCTCGTGTCGAAAAAGCAACAGAAACTTTCCTCAAGATCCTTCCTCGCATTCACCAGGATGGATTTCTCGTCGCCTCCCAGCACCGGCGACCCTTCCCGAGAGAGCATCGCGCAATGCCCAACCAGCGACTTGCAGCTTCCTCGCCTTGGCACTTGTCCCCAGCAGCAGATTCCGGGCTTGGGACTTATCCATCACGAGCCGCAGATCATCCACTATGACCATGCTCAGCGCACCTTCCGACGCGAAGGTGATCCTGGTAGGATCCCTCTTGCACTACTCGGGCTCGCCACGCCTGTCCTTTTTGTTGGTTTCACTGTGTTGCTGACTTCGAGCACAGAGACAGACCATGTCTTCCACAACTCGAGCGTCCATCGAGACGAGAAGTCCGACGTCGAGATTGCGCAGATCAAGGCCCGCGAGCCCAACCCGAACGAAGCGTCTGCCTCCGACTGCGACGTTGCCGCGAAGGATCCCCGCAAGCGGGTCCTGTTCGATTTCATGTCTCGAACTCCCAGCTCTGCCGCTTTCGACAAGTACGAGGAAAAGCTGCTGAAGCGTCCCTGCCATGTCTTTGAGGACTCTACCGGTCCCATCGGAGAAGTTGATCACACAGGGAGTCAGTTGGAAGCTGTCAACGCCGCTGGCGCGTACCCCCGTCGACCTTTCCAAGGAACGGACTTCAACCTTTCCGAACAAGCTGCGCAGTCTGATGCAGCCCAGCCCGTCTCTAGACCCCACGTTCAGGCCACTCAAGCTCAAGTTACTCAGCTTACTGGAATTGCTGATCGAATCGCCACCGTCATCGAACTCCTGCGTCACTCTGACGACCAGCTGTCGGATGCCTACGATCGCATGAGTGAAGCCGACCTCGCCATCGAGGAGCTTCGCACTGGCATGCAACGATCTTGGGAGAAGATCCAGTCCCAGGCATCCGGCCCTCGCGATCGTGAGGCGTCGAACGCTTCCGGCACAACCACTCCAGCCAGCAGTGACAGCTTTGCCGATATTGAAGCCAAGCTGAAGGACATTACCCGCCAGAAACGCTTGATCGAGATGGAGATTACTGGCCGCGAGTCCAAGAGACAAAGAATTGAGGAAGCATTTGCTGCCTTCGTCCCGCCCCAAGGCCTTCCTGGCCTGGAGAGATTGGAAGAGACGGCCGATGAATACGTTCCAGCTCACTCGGGTTTGTAGGGTGGTAGACAAGGTGAAATATCGTGGCGTTTGAAGAGAATTCGAGGAGGATTTGGTTGCGGGAATGGCTCGGTTTGGTCAATGTACAGTACTCTCGGTTTCTCACGGTGTCCCTTTGCACAATAAATTCTAGTCAGATAGACTCTCAATAACTGCAACCCGCCAGTGCCATGTCCCCATTCGACAACACCCAGGCTGAAATCAGAGAATTCCAACTTTGATGTCAAAGTCATACCCGATACATGCGCGCAAGTGTGCAACAAGCCAAAGCCACGAGTCTGTGGAAGCTGTTACCTTTGACTTTGGATCAATTGAGGGCATCATGAGTGTATCTGCAATTTTCAGGCTGATGCATCCTAGTGGGTTCATCCTTTCACCAGTATTCAATAACATCGCCAACCCCCACCCTTTATTGAGCCAAGTAAACAAAGATCCCCCTTCGGGACGAGAGACGTCTCGATGGCAGCAGTGATGAAGCTAACAGATCCTGCCTCTTGCTCGTGTTGCTTTGATTCTTGGAAGGAGCTGTTTCTTCTCACCATCGCTTGCTGCTTCTCCATCTTAAACCCATCCAACCCGGGTCCCTCACTTCGACGGATCGCCTGGGAGCCCGGAAGTCGGGACTTCGACCTCGATTCCGCACCACGCTCATTTTTCACTCGTTTACCAACTCGTTCTTTCTCGTCAGTCGGACCTGCTTCTTTTTGGCTTGGATTTCCTTCGTTTGCCAGGGACCCGTTTGCCAGGGACCGCCTCGTTCCACGCCGCCGTCACAGCCCGAATATTCCCCAGTGAAAACAGCGACTGAATCACTAGGACCATCAAATCCAGCACCAAATTCAGCACTGCAGCAAAGATGGCAGAAGATTCCGCCCTGTACCAGGTGAATTCTTTCGAGAATGTCTCGGACCTTCTTGGGGACACCAGCATCGCTGCTTCTGCCGAGATGAGACGTGCCCAACATGACGACTCATCCGTACGTCACGATTCCAACGAGTGAGGTGCCACACAAAATGTTAATGAAATCATCGGCTGACGAGCAACATGCGCAGACCTGATAAT